TAGCTCCTCTTCGGTGGCCCGGCAAACCACCAAAGAGTAATCTCTTGCCGAGAAAAACTTCTCCCCAACTTTGCCGTTCGGAACCGGCGTTAAACTGTAGGTCCCATATGCAATATATACGATCTGTGTGCGCACCATGCTAGTTTCCGTAGGGCTAATGACCCACGTGGAGCGAAAAGCATCTATTCAGAGACAAATGAAAATATACCCCCGGCGCTTAGTGGCACAAAGGGGAAGAAGAGAATCCCAGTATACTCACACATTTCTATTCTGCATATTATATATATGTATAAAGAGAGTTTATATTATTTCAATTTAAAGTAAAAGAGAATTTCTTGTTTTTAGATATATACAATTATAAATATTCTGAGTTTATATTTTCAAATTTTCTTAATGAGCCTTTCTAACCTCTTGATACTGACAGCTTCATGTTCGGGACTATCATGTGCGATATGACTCTTAGCAGCATGCATGGCATCCGCGTTTTCAAGCTGCTTGAATTGCTCGAGCAATGGAACCAGTTCGGTTTTTTTTAATCCCTGTAAAGTGCGCATTGATTTCGTATTAGCAGTTGATCAGATTGAATATATAATCATATATATATAATTGAATATACAATATTGTGTACGAAAATTTACCTTCATGTCCAAAATTTTTTGGAATTCCGAAAATGGTAAATCCGGTAAGCGCATTCTACGCTGTTTTACATAGTCACTTGGCGATTCGATCGGGGACATTACGATTTTTAATATCATTTCAGCTCGATCCGCAGGAGAAAATCGTCGGGGCGACCTTATCTCGCGCTTTTTAGCCGACGGATCATTTTTTGATCGGTCGCCGATTACTTGCCAGCTCTCTCTCTCTCCCCCTTCTTTTTCCCACCTCTTTTCCTTCCCGGCGCTTCGTCCGCCCGCCCATCTAAGTCCACCGCGCGCGTTATCGTCAGGGTGGCAAAAGGGACGTGCGAGGGACGCTTCCTCGCACGATGTTATCCGAGGGATTAAAGGGACGGACGAAAATTCGGCCTCTTCCACGGCGACGTGGCGGGCACGGGAGGGAGTGAAGGACGCCTCCAGTCAAATTTTATCATATATCTGAAAGATTCGTCGGATTGGCTTCTGCCTGATCTATGCCCGATGGCCCGCGCGAATTCTCGCGCTATCGCGCATGGCTATCGTCTCTCCTCGACCGAATCTTCTCCTCGAACCCCGGATTTCGTCATGGGTTTCCTATCCGGCTAACCTCCCTCTTCCCCCCCCCCCCTCATACCCGTGTACCCTCTGCCGAGACTTTTTTCATCCCGATCACATCGAATCTCCCGGCATCGCCGGAAAGGGCGAATCGTACCGCGCCCGCGCGCGAAATTTCGCGTTCGAGGGGCGCGCGGATTTCCGGACGCTACAAAGAGTACAAAGATATAAATTGTTGGCGCTACGATCTCTCTCGGAGGACGGCCAAAAATGGCCGCATTGCGGGAAACATTGGATAACTTGAGAATGAGTTAATCGCAGTTTCTTCTACGCGAGAAGAAAGATATAATTCCGAAAAAATAATCGAATGACATGGTAAAACCATAAAGAGATTCATAAAGAAAACCAGCATCATGTGCCGTTGGCTTTACATACCGTGCATTAGATTTACGTCGGATTTAGATAGTATTATTTTTTCTAACTCAATCAGTATTTTCACACTTCTAGACGATTTTGTCCGGACCAATGGAATTCACGTATAACAATAACGAAGTCAAATGGTCCGTTCTTTTCAGTTATACTGCTGAACTGGTACAGTTGAAAAGAACAGGCCAAAGGTAGCGTTACCGTCGCTCCGGTGGTGCTGCAACACAGAACTTCCTTTACGTTGTGGAAAGCCGTGTGCTTTACGTCGTGTTGAACGAAATACCGTCTTTTATATCCGGTAAAATTAAGAGGAATCCTCTTGATTTCAAATTAGGAAAATGGTTCAGAAGAAGGTTAGACTACCAAATTATTATATGTGGGCAATATTTTTAGCAAAAATGGCATTATTAATAATAAACATCTATATTTGAAATTGAAATTCCCCAATATGATGTTTCGGTACATGACCAGAAAATATGTTTTTATCGCACAATAAGTGAAATAAATAACTGATTATGATAATTATTTAAGTCAATACTATAACCTGTGATTACAAATACAATCACAATTTAATTCGCTAATATATGTGATATTTTATAATTTAATTACAATACGTCTCAGTTTCATAACCTCTAATACCATGATGCGAACACGATTTTATGAATTGATATGAAAAGAACATGATATTTGGCGTATTATTAGGAAATATTATATGTAATTTTCATATTGCATTATATTTTTTTTACTGAATGGAAAGAAAACTGTGAATTTTTGTAAAATGTCTATTATTTAAAAGTAATAATTATAGTGGATATATGTTTTTATATTATCTAAACTGTACTTACCTTACATATTTTATTAGACTCTATTTACCTACTTACGATCGGACGAAGCCTTTTCGATCATGCTTAAATGTGGCAATGTTTTTTGATACTATATGATAATTAGGTGTTCTTATAACTGAACACGTGATTAGACATGTGTGTTTCATATTTACTTGTGTCCTTGGTTCACAATCCGCGTGTTATTGTTTCGAGATCGCACTGGATTTCCGCATCATGCTCCTCTCAAGTGTGATGAGCATGATAACATTAACTTTTCCGTTAAGACTCAATTGGAATTTTGAAGAATGTCTATTATTTAAAAGTAATAATTATAATGGATATATGTTTTTATATTAACTAAACTCTACTTACCTTACATATTTTATTAGATTCTATTTACCTTACATATCTTATTAGAATTATTCATATATTTGCAGTTAACTTTATATTATTTGCTTCTGATTTTAAGAAAGACTGAATTAATTTTTTTGTGATTTTTTCTAATATGTATATATATGAATATATATAGCCAAAGAAGAAGGTAGGAAAGAAGGTAGCTGCCGCACCATTGGCAGTAAAAAAAGTTGAACCAAAAAAAGTGACCAATCCATTGTTTGAAAAACGGACACGCAACTTTGGTATTGGTAAGTCAAATACTTTAATCAGTTTATAATATATCATTAGAATAAAAAAACATAATCCATAATTATATATATATATATATATATATATATATAATATCATATTATATATAATTATATATATTATATATTATAATATATATAATTAAATATATTATATTATATATTATATTATATATAATATATATATAATTATGGATTATGTTTTTTTATTCTATATATATATATATATATATATCATGAGAAACTTGTTAAAATTTAGGTCAGGACATTCAGCCTGCACGTGACTTGAGCAGATTTGTAAGATGGCCCAAGTATATACGTATACAACGACAAAGGGCTGTCCTACAAAAGAGATTGAAAGTACCACCAACTATCAATCAATTTACTCAAACGTTGGATAAGCAAACGGGTAATTTCTACAAATATATGTGAAAATCTGTTATAAATTTGTTATATATACATAATATAATGTGATCACAATATTTTCATATTATTATAGCAACACAACTCTTCAAAGTGTTGGAAAAATATAGGCCTGAAACCGCAACCATGAAGAAGGCTAGGCTAAAAGCGAGAGCGGAACAAAAAATTGCAAAGAAAGAAGATACACCAACGAAAAGACCGAATGTAATCCGCAGTGGAACAAATACGGTAACCACGCTAGTCGAGCAAAAGAAAGCTCAGTTGGTTGTTATTGCACATGATGTGGACCCTATTGAGGTTAGTTAATTTATTATATATAATATATATTGTGGAAAGATTATTTAATTTTTTATTTATTTGCTTAATCATGATGAATCGAATTTCTTCACCTGAAGGCAAAAGTCCTTAATATTATTTTTGTTCGCAAGATGACATATGACTCTGAGCAATATTTTTTTTATGTTGATACATTTTCACAAATAGTAGTACTACTGCATATTAAACCAATTTATTCTTTATCTAACAGATCGTATTATTCCTCCCTGCCTTGTGCCGTAAAATGGGTGTCCCATACTGTATCATCAAAGGCAAAGCGCGTTTGGGACGTTTGGTTCGACGCAAGACCTGCACAGTGATTGCCCTTACTCAGGTATGTGAAATATTACACTCAAGACTTTTATAATCTTATAATTTATATCTTATTAACACATATCGATTTACATGATGATTACAATAGAGCCAATCCAATGAAACTTCGTGATATAGAAAAATCAATATTCTCTGATAAAAATTTTTATAAAAACCTGATTCTCCCACTTATGCTTCAATTTTATTAATATGCTTGTTTATTTCAGGTGGATTCTGGCGATAGAGCTAATTTCGCCAAAATCGTTGAAGCCATTAAGACGAACTTCAACGACCGGTATGATGAGATAAGGCGTCATTGGGGCGGTGGGATATTGGGAAGCAAGTCCGCGGCAAGAATAGCTAAATTAGAAAAAGCTAAAGCCAAGGAACTTGCTCAGAAGCAAGGTTAATATTACCTGTGTCTTCTGGAAAACCAATAAAGAAAATAAAACACATTTATACCTGTATTTATTCAACAGAGAATCCCTCTATACTCACATATTTCTATTCTGCATATTATATATATGTATAAAGAGAGTTTATATTATTTCAATTTAAAGTAAAAGAGAATTTCTTGTTTTTAGATATATACAATTATAAATATTCTGAGTTTATATTTTCAAATTTTCTTAATGAGCCTTTCTAACCTCTTGATACTGACAGCTTCATGTTCGGGACTATCATGTGCGATATGACTCTTAGCAGCATGCATGGCATCCGCGTTTTCAAGCTGCTTGAATTGCTCGAGCAATGGAACCAGTTCGGTTTTTTTTAATCCCTGTAAAGTGCGCATTGATTTCGTATTAGCAGTTGATCAGATTGAATATATAATCATATATATATAATTGAATATACAATATTGTGTACGAAAATTTACCTTCATGTCCAAAATTTTTTGGAATTCCGAAAATGGTAAATCCGGTAAGCGCATTCTACACTGTTTTACATAGTCACTTGGAGATTCGATCGGGGACATTACGATTTTTAATATCATTTCAGCTTTCGCCATTCCTTTGATTACAACCTACATAATAAAAGTGATGAGGCTAATATTCAATATTTACCTAATTTTGTAGATCACTCAATTACCTTTGCATACGCTAATGGTGCTTTCCTTTGTACTTGATAACCTGTCGATGGAAGATCCAGCAAAGCTGTTTTTAACATATGAACGTCTAATAACAATTGTTCTGCGCCGACAGTGTTCAACGGTTTGCATTTAAACAACTGTTGTACTAATTTTGGTATAAAAGAGCTGAAAAATAAACGTTAGAGAAAATGTAGGAAAGGACGTTGAAAAATATCTTATGCTTTCTTACGCTGTCTATATGTAACAAATGATTACCTGGCAAACTTAACACAAAGCTGCGTGAAATATTTCCTACAAGAAGACAGCCTGTCTCGTATAGTAGGTATTGTCTGTCGAAGATGCGCTATTATAGTATTAACGTAATTACTTTGATCGCCTACAACTTCCACAGAGCTCCACTGCACCTGAAGGAAAAAAAAGATTACGACATGTTTATTAAACAATATTATTTGATCGTTTTCACGTAACAGCATAGATACATATAATATTAATTATATTGTATAAACGATGTAGCATCGTATTTTTAATATTATATGGTCAATTTTTTCCTTTGTAGTTTACCTTGGTCATTACAGTCAAAGCAGAGTCGCAAGCTGTTTCTAAATCTTGGACCAGCGATTGAATACAGTTTTTTATCACGCTGGAAATAATTGTTAGAAATAAATGAATTGTCAACTAATATTTGAGATAGTTAACCCCTTGCTCTACGATTTAAGATTCAACAGCGCGGCCCCAAAACATAAACAGAACTGCCGTGGACAGAGCGTGACACGTGCTGTTTATATTTGGCCCGGCCGACGTACCACGAGCCAGGCCCGTGATAATCAGTTTTGGCTCGAAAACCACGAGCCTTACACGTGGTTGTAGACCAAAAGGTTAAATAACGCATGTAAGAATTAGTAGAAAGGTATACTCGTTAAAAATATCCTGTTCCTGAGACAAATTAATTTTCCCGGAGTAACATTTATCCGTCTTTTCACGTAGCTTCTCCTCCAATTGCTGCGTCGTTTCCAGACAATATTCCGCTGTCGTTAAGATACTGAAAATTGCATATTTATATAATTATTTCCCTTTTCTACCCCAAAAAATAGGAAGATAAATAATTACCAGCATATACGAGATTGTTCCTCTTTGTTGAGTCTGGCAGTTTCTCCCTCTTTCAAAAAACTCTGAAAGTTCTGGATAAAACCTGACGTGGAGAGATCGCGAAAATCACGAGTGATGTTGCTCATACTCGTGCCGATTCCCACACTACCTGCGATTCTATAACAATGTCGTTAAAATATATAAGTTATTCTGAAATTATATCGATCTATGCAATTCTTACACTCACTTGGGTAAATTATTTTGCAAGATTTTGTGTGCGTATTCTCGCAGGTATTTTTGAAAAGTTTCGGCGAGACTCAACATAATAATACCGGTGCTCAATTGCGTGCACTGCAGCATGCACTTCTTGTAAAACACAAACAGATCAGCGCACGAGCTCAAAACACTGCTAGGGCCTTCGATACCGTCAAATTCTTTAGCGCCTGGCGGTTGCGTTTTGGCGTCGGAAACGAACTTGTCCATCAGATCTGCCAAATTGCGATCCAAACTTTCTATATAAATATTTAGGTATGGCTCGAAACACTTCCCTATAAGATTCGCAAACGGAGACGGCTTCGGCTTTTCATCTTCAACCTACATGAACAAAACAATATACATTTTATTATTAGAAATACCAATTTACCAGTGTAAATGCATATAGCAATGATATACCGAAGATATAATCTTAGTACCTGTTCATTTTCTTCGAAAGGATTTCCCGGGACTTTGTCGGTCGTGTCATTACTGATCGTCGCACTCTTAGCATCGGTAGTCTCCAAAGTACTGCCGACAAAACGTTTCGCCAACAACGACTCAAAATTACTGGTCCTCTGAATCGCGTAAAGCAATAACTTAACGTCTATTTCACCACGCCTCTTGTTCATCAGTTTAGCGAGGTCCTCGCGCGTAACATGGCAGAATTGCACCGCTATTCGCTCGGAGACCTCCCAATCTTGGGGAAAAATAGTGCCGAACTTCGACTCGAAGTCCAGCAAGTGTTTCTTAATCCACGCGTATCTCCGATCTATCTTGTCCAACCACGCGAAGTCTTGATTCTCATCGAACAGATGTGCGTATTCTTGCAATTGAATATTTACAAACCAGACGAGCAAATCCTTCCTGTAATGAGCAGAAAAAGTAAATTTCAAGGATCTTGACATCGTTAAACATTAATCGTCGACATTAATATTGTTAAAAATATTAAATATAAACATCCGACATACGTACTTCACTTTAGGATCTAATGCTGATAACACTAAGCAGCCTTCTGTTAATTGATTAAAGTGCTTTGGATTCTGGCCTGAGAAAGCCTGTTTGAAATCCGCTGTAATCTGCTGGGCCAACTCCACATGAATTTGACGTACCTTTCATTAGAGAAACGGTAAGAATTTAAAAGAAATCATTCTACAAATTATCAAAAAGATGTATTCTCTAAGCTCATGATTTTTTCTAAGCTTATAATCTTACCTGATCAGATAACATCTTCACCTGTGGTATGTCCATGTAATTGTGAAAATGTTGCATCACTTCCATTACTGCTTGCAGTGGCATGATAATATCTCCGTATAGTTTTTTTTGCGTTAATACTCTGAAATATAATAGGTGGAAAACACAGTTAATATTCATATAATTTTTTATACAATGCCTGAATATGATTCATTTAATTTATATAGTACATACTTTAAAGTGTCTACTCCTTCCACAAGCATGTGCAAATGATTCAGAGCTGTAATTGAAGCGGTAAGATTTCTCTTAGCGAAATCTAATTGCTTAATATCTCTTGTAATTTCCTTAACCACTTCCTCGGACTGTTCAGCTTTATCTTTAATGTCCTTTATGTGGACAAATAACTGCCTTATCACCTTTTGCGCGTCTTCCAATGCTGCTCTACCATCCTGACCTACGTTTGTTTGGCCACGTACCACTGATCGTATCTCTTTGTCAATTGTATGTATTTGAAATTCCATTTTATTCACTACATCATCAATGTTCGACAAAGACTGTTCAGTAGGAAATAAAGAGTTTATATAGTCCACCACATTGAAATTAGATTGGTCTAATGGATCGTTACTAGGCAAGACCTGATAATTAAAAAGATAATATCAGAATTGTGAAATTCATATAACAAATATTTACTATATTCATAGAGACATTCCAGAATTTTATACACGACTAATCGTGACGACGAATCGCACATCTGTGGATGTTAAAGAAATTGGTGCTCAAAGAAAAAGAGGACATGGAAAAAGAAACAGTTTTATTGAAAAAAAAATAAGAACCATATACCTCGTACAGAGAAATTCTTGTAGGAAGCTCGAATAGGAGAATTTTATTGTCACGTGTTGGTTCTACGTTTTGCAAGAGAGAGAGAGAGAGAGAGAGAAAGAGAGGGAGACGAACATCTCTCAAAATATCGGTGACAGAAGGTATCGTTACTTCCACTAACGAGTGGGCAACGAACTTGACAACACAGATGCGCGAGTAACCTAACCTGCTCGATCACATTCTGCACGTTCTGTGGGAATGTATAAACCCTAGAGCGCAGCTCTTCCAAATCGTCCTCCTCGTGGTTTTCCATTATGCTGCCAGCGAACACGAACTCGTAATTTCACACGAGCGTCGCGTTACAGCGTTCGATTCATGCATGCGAATCGTGACAGGGTGAGAACGAGGCAGGTGACATGTTTAGTGACGTTTGCACGAGCGCGGCGCGGCGTGCTTATCCAACGCGAGTAATAGGCGTTGCGTAGACGCGGCGACGGCGAGACCGATCGATTACGCTACATAATACACATTTTATGGCAGTTTGGACAGTAACTGATTAGTATTATCTTCCGTACGTGGTCTCCGAGACTGATTTCGAAAGTTCATACATTACTCTTGGATTTTTTCACCTTTTTCTCGACCCGATTCCGAGACAGTTTAAAAAAGAAAGATTGTCCCCATCAGTTGTTTGTTACTTAATGTACTCGTACTTTAACTCTGTGCATTTTTTACGTATAAAAATAGTCTCATTGCGTGCGCACTTATATGAAACGCTTAATGCAACATAACACAGGTCAAGCGCTGATAAGCTTATGAAAAACATAACAAAAATAAAGTCGTCTCTAGCAGCGAAGCTCCTTTTATTAAAGTCTATGAGTGGAACATAACAGCTAAGGTCACCTTCCTAGAATGCTTAATAGACTGAAAATTAAATGAGAAACAAAATAAAGTGAGACTAAATCGATAATTAAGACAAAATTAATAGCCTCTTATCCGAACTCTCCATTCTTATATTCTCATTCGTAGTGCCAATTGCGAAGTTTTTCATTATTTTCAGACATGTTTAAGACATTCATCTATCTGGCGACACGTAGACCGAAATGTGATACGTAGAATTATCAGTTTAATTTCTTTTATAGGAATTAATTCCTCTCACATTACGTTATTCATGTTGCATGTCGTCGCAGTCGTCTGACTGTGCGATAATTAAAGCGAACAGATGAGAGGGGAGAGACATCGGGAAATCTATCGATTTGGGAAACCAATTTCCTATCTCGTGCTTCGAAAAACAAAAGAAAGACTCTTAATTTCACCGAGTGCTCGACAAAGATTTTCCGCAGAAGTCGTAGGTCGACGAGCAGGGTCAACGACCAATCCTCTCTCTTATCGCGTGAAACGCGCCGTGTCTTCGTCCGATTTCGTCAGGGCTGATCGCGCGTGGCGGCCGCTCCAGTTCCGGCAGCGTCGTCATCATCGTCCCTTAATAAATCGCGAAAGGCGGCCGCGAGTTCCGGCTGGAGTACGCGTCGCGGCGCCCAGCGCCGCGTCGTCGCGCGTCGCGTCGCTCCGCGTCGGTGGGGGTCAGGTCGGTCGAACGGGGAACGGTCGAACGATCGAAAGGCCCTGCTCTCTCTCCTCGAGCTCAGTTGTAGCGCCGACACGGCACACGAAGTCGCGTCGTAGTTTAAAGGCACACTCTGTACAAACTAGACACGCACGCTCTTTTTTTCTCTCCTCCTACGTATCTCCGTCTCGTCTCGTCTCGACCAGCCTCGTCTCGTCTCGCCTTGTCACGTAGTGAGAGCAACAGATACATATACGTGCACGTAGAAAACGAAACCGACCTATCTACGAGAAAAAAAGCGAAAGAAAACAAAAAAAAAAGGCAGAAAAGCGAAATGCATCGCCCGGCCGGTGACTGGAGAAAAGTCCTACTCGTGTATATTTTGCCATTATTTTCATGTAAGTGTAGCGCGCGCGTGGGCGCGCTTGCTCTCGCGCCCGTTCGTATCCCTCTTGTTAATCAACATCGCTCCCTCCACACGCGTGTACGCCTGTTTTCTTGTGCGCTCCGTTCCTCGTACCTTCGAGGAGGACACATGTCACCTCGAGAGCTGGTACGACGCTGACAGCCGGAGTTGCTCGGCCGAATCTGTCCTCGCGGCTGCCGCGTCGTCGGGCGTCAGCTCGTTGTCTGACCCGGGCCGCGTTCACCCCGCGAAAGATCCTTGAGACTCGTGGGACGTTTCGTCTGCCGATTCCGCCACCGAGACCGGCGATTTTTCCTGGGCGAAAATTTGATTGGACGCCATCTTCCCTCCTTATTTGTCGATGTTAAACGTCTTGGCGATCAACTCGTCAGGCATCGTATTTCCCACATATCGGCTGTCTGACACTTAGACGAAGAGCGAGGTTTTTCGCTGACAACTCGTCGCGTCTACCGATGTTGCGGAAAATTCTGTATTCTCGATTGTCCGCAGCTAAAGAATTATTGATGTCTCGAAGCTACCCGCGCAGAAAAATATTGACTCCGAATTGATCAACACAGAGGCGTAGATAAGAATTTCTCGGCGGTGTTCGGAAACACTCCGCTGGGGTGGGTCTCACCCTCGCTAGGCGCTTGGAAATAATCGTTTTTCGAATTTTCATTTCCCGACGATCTCGAAAGAGCGATGTTTTTATCTGGCCGAAACGCGCAATTCGCGAATTTTCGAAATGTCTCTACACAGCCGACCCAGTCAACACGCGCAATTTTTTTCTCGCGAAGAAAATAACCAGCAAAAATCCATTCTGAAAGGCGAACACCTTCGCTTCTTGTTGTTCGAACGTTGTTCCCGTTCGTCTCGTTGTCCTTCGTAGAAATTGTTGCGTTGTTTCAGTCGACAAATGATGATGGTGGATGTTGCAAGCTGTGCAATTCAGCATCCTGACATTATTACACATTTTGCATTTCACAACAACAGTTAATAGTCCAGTGCATCTCTACGTGCTTCGTTGTTTTCGTGACGGGGAATAATTCTACGTCATGTTCCGTGGGATATTTTCCGGAGCATATGTGGAGCGACACCGTTACCAAGTCTCAGCACAATGTTATACCGTGGGTAAAAAAAATATTTGTACACCTCATCCATTTCGGAATAAATTTGCACAACAGAGGAAAATATGTTCCAAAGCGCTTTCGCCGGAGTAAATATTGCCTTTATTTTGTTTATTGATATGTTGAGCTGAACTGTTATAACACTCTCTTTTTTCGTTGTGTCTACAATTATCCCGAAAAATGTGATGTGTGCAAATACTCTTATTATCCATTGTATATTTGCTTTCGAATCAATCGTTGTGAAAACAACACTAAAAACGGCATTTATTTGTTTAGATAATTATACGGCTTGTAAGTTGTAAGTTGTTTACACTTGACCTCTCTCTCTCTTTCTCTGCCGATGTACAAATCTTGCTTTTAAACGGAATAATTCTGTCAAACAGAGTAGCGTAACATTCGAGTCATTTTTGTATTATTTTACACATCACGACCCCACGCTTTGTAACGCGTTTTATCGGCTACATTGATATCACTTTGATTTACGACAGATAATATTATTTTCAAAGCAACCAATTAATTTCTTCACAGAACAACGAGACACTGAGCGGACAAAACCACGGTAAATCGACAAAGCTGTAGAACGGATCCCTTTTCACTTAATCGGTTAAAAACGTAACATGTGCATATAGGTGTGCGGGTTTCCGCGCGCCGCTCTCACGGTAGGAAATTTGACAGTGGGATCAATCGGCTCGTTCGTTTCGCATTCATACGGGGGTGAATAAAATTAGAACTCTTCGTTTCATTCCCGCGAACGTCTATCATTCATACTATCCAGTAGCGAGATTACTACGATGTACTACATTTACTACGAGTTGTCAATGGCCCTATTTGGCTGGTCACATATACGTACATGTCAATACGACGCATGAACGAAATATTCAAACACTTCGCGTAATTTTTCACCATTCGCTGACACATACCGCTTGTGCACGACTTATTTGCAGTTACTCAAAATGTTTCGTCGCGATCGCTCCGTTCTTATAAGAGTTTCTATCACGAAATGCCATAAAATCGTGTCAGTGTTCGTGACGAAAAGTGACTTGACCTAATTCCATTCTCAAGTCCGGTCCGACTTTAAAGACACGTGCATCGTTAATGCGTGCATTTATTATAGACCCGGGCGCATAAAACATTAAGAGCGTAAATCGAGAATCGATCGTATAATAATCGTAATTTTTGTCATTCACCGCGGATGTGCCCATCGGAGAGGCGTTCGTGCACATCGTTCCTCAAACGAACGATCCCACGGTAATGTTAAATCGATGATACATTGCAAACGTACTTAACAGCGCTTTGTCAACGTTTCGCTCGCGGTAGGAACTTGGTGCGAGTCGGAGTTATCATGAAACTAGAACTATAGTCGCTCTACGCGGGAAGGTAATGTCAAAGGAAATGCTCGGCATTGCTGTTTCCCGAAATTCCAGCAGACAAAAGCCCTTGATAATGGCACGTCGCTATCTTAATCGTTAATCGCGAAATTCCTGCTCTTTCCGAAATTCCATCCGTTTGCCTTTAACAATAATACGCGCGCGGCGTACTCGAATTGTGCCAATTGTTATTCTAATCTCTCTTTCTTGCGGTTTGGAAATAATTTTATAATTTTCTCGCAATTCTCGCGCGTAAACTGCTAGAGTTTGACGATTAAAAAGTTTGGAGCCGTAGAGCCGTACAGCTTTGTGCTCATATTGGCTTCAAATTAAAGTTGCCAAAGTTTTCCTTTGTGAATATACAACTGGAATTATACACAGGGTAAATAAAGCAAAAAGGAACGGGAGAAGTGCGCGCATGATATTCAAAAGCATGTATTTTTCTTCGTTTTAAAGCATATGTAATACATAACGTAAAGATAATTATTAACACCACCACAGTCATAAATATATAAAATAACAAGAAGTAATAAAACTTACATTGAAAATAGGAAACACGCACTATTTGAAATCCCGCGTGTATGTTAAGCGCACGCAATTGTTTTTCATTGCAAAATAAGTAGTCTGCAATGAACGTAGAGCGTAACATACGTTCAATATATCGAAAATTTAATTGAAACGAAAAAGTCAATAAGTCGACTTAATTAAAATGATCGAAAATACGATTTGCTTTCTCGGTTACTCAAATAGCGCGATTTTAAAAGCCATCACGGAGAACTCAGCTGACTGTTTATCGACTCGTTCTAATCGCGATTTTTATCCTAATGGCACAGTTTTTAAAATGCCGTTTTTTGAAAAGGAGCTTTCCAGCGCGTTCCGCGTCACGCTAAAGTGAAATCACGAAGGCCATTATCGAGGGCATTTACATCCCCGAGATTACACGAGTTCCATCGTTGACTTATATTTTTCCACGCAACTGCTCGTGCAAAGACCCTTTGATCGTGATGTATTTATGCAGCGATGTAATACCAATACAAACGGACTTTAAGTACTCGTTGAAACATTGCTGGACACGCGTGTGGAAAATCACGAAGCATTAGCATTATCCAGCGACACGATCGACCTCGAAAATAGGCCTCTCGTCTCGAAACGTCTCGAAATAATACCGTGCGTGCAGCGGTAACGCGCGCTTTCACTCTGATCGATACAGTAACACCTCCCAGCAACAGGGCAGACTGCCACAAGTAGTTACGGTCGGCCGAGGGCCTTCCATTCTTCCCGCCGGATTAATTCACTCGCTGTCGTCTCGCTGTCGCGTTATACGGTCTGTTCTAGGAAAATCAAATGGGACACGATCACCGATCGCGATCATGTTTAATCGAAATGCCAAGCAGCCACCTGACGTTTCGTCATTACTCGCTATAATTTGCTCCGTACTAACGAAGCTTCGTGGGGGTGGTGGATCGGCTGGAAATAAGAGGCGCACTTGTCTTTTTAAGATACCTCAAATTTCACATTTTCTCTTACCTGCAAAAGTGCTCGAAATTTCACATTTTCTCTTACCTGCAAAAATGCTCTTCTGGCATTTCGAAGCGTTGCATTTTTGGTCTTCTCTTCATGGAAACTTGATCATTTTTGTAGTTACAATCTGCACAATTGAATGATTGTTGTAAATCGAGATTCTTCGGATAAAATGCGAAGTGACGAGGGAAATGTTATTCCCCATTTCGAATTTCCACTGAACTCCATTTGACTGGATTTTAAATTTGAGATCTCTAGTTGCACACACATATACCCTGTGTGTATATCCTGTGTGTAATCAAATATAGGTTTATGGGTTGCGACGCCCTTCGGAGTTAAACTCGACGTAGTCGACTCTGAGCGAATGTCACGCAAACCATAGATGACGTGAACACGTCGAATAACGATTTTATGACCTGAAAAACCTTGATTTATTTCCGCAGCGTGTGGCGATTTTCTTGACATGTTTGGACAATCGTGAAATTCCGCGATCTTCCGTCTATCAGAAACAAAAAATAACGTACATAGACGAGACATGAGAAGATTAATTTGTCGATAGTAATTAAATCGATCGCCAAATCTAATCAAGTGCTAGCATTTTCCAAAGTGCTAGGTTATTTGGTCCCCTAACCATTTTTTTGCGAAATTGAACTCTGAATTTTCCACTTTCACGCACGCCCGTGTCGTAACTCTCACGGTGTCATCATAAAAACATCAATCAATCGGGATGCCGCGCGACTTTTTGTTAGCGCAGTTCCGAAACAATGTTTTGTTCAAGTACAGAGGTTATCGACTCTCGTGTCGATTGTCAAAACTACACGGTAGCATGTACGTACGGTTATTTCACGATTTTCAGACGCGACACCGGCGGTGCACATGAATGTGCAGCTGATTGCGCCGCAATATGTAACATTGGGCGATACGGCCATCCTAGTCTGCAATCACACTGTCTCGGAAGAGCTGCTGCACAAAATAGAGTTTATGAAAGGCGAAAAGAGGATATTCCATTATGTAAAGGAAAGGAATCCGCCGTACATCGGGAATCACGTCGAGGGCGCCAAACTGGAGGTGAGCGTGGCAGAACGTTCGCGTTCGCACGAGATATCATGAATTTTCAAATGTATCTTTTGTCAATATCAACTTCTGAAGCCTCTTCACTTTATTCCCTTAATTTTCCGTACATTCATCTTTCATTTGACTCGAATAAATTATTGAATCACACTATACCACAATATTAATAGAAAAGAAAAGAAGAAAATGATTTATTTGTTTTCCAGCGAGTCTTTCATAGCCAGTGAATTTTTTATTGGTAAAAATAAAAATTCAATAGCTAATTTCATTAACGTTAGTTAGCTTTAAGCTAAATATACTTGATTTTCGACTTATTATAATTATTCTTAACCCTAAAGAAAAAAGGAACGATCGGTTGAACTCCAAAGAGAGGTTAATGTTAATCAACTTTGCTGAAACCGCCCGTAAATATCTCGTCGTTGCTATATTTGGCGTACGTCACTTTTGCTTTGAAGTCCATAATTATCTCAAGAACATATCTTGCCGTCGCATCGTGACTGGCATACAGGTTCGATAACTCTTGTGCGCGAACTTCATCACCCAATTTATATAGCTAAAACCGATACATTGACCTTTGCGCCTTACCTCATTCACATAATTTTAAATATATCCGTCCATACATGGCAGCCTTAGACGTGAAAACTTAAAGAGAATTTTTATTTTCGTGACGGAAGTTAAATCTGTCTTGGTCGAACGATCACATGACAATCTTAATTCGGTATAATTTGCAACATTCGGCAATTCTCTGTGTAAAAAGAATGCAACTCGACAAACATGATCCTTGAATTATCACTGAAATGACGGACAGAGAGTCTTGAATATTTTTCGAGTCTTTCTTTCCTCATATTTTATCCGAAACTTGATATTATTGAAATATATGAAAGCTTTAGTCTGTATTTACACAACGCAGCAACGATTTATTTTATAAACGAAAGTTCACAGATTCAGTTAAACTTAATTTCAGTTTCAGCTTAATTTGACTTAATTTAGTTTAGCACAGATGTCCACTCTGTCGAGGTTCACAAAACCGTACAACACGATGACGTCTGTAACTCAAAATTCAAATTCGCTTCGTCCCTCCTTGCGAAAAAAGATAAATGAAAATAATCGTGGAGTTTCTTTCGATTCAATCGCGGTGTCGAGTTTATCGGCATCGTGTCGACTCGTGGAATATCAATTTTTTCCATCTTCAGTATTTACCAGGTATCGAATGTGTTTTGCCGTTGACAGCTACCTGATTTCTCCTTTGTAACTCTTTTTTACGTCACACTCTTATTATATCACCTTTTTGCTTATATAATGAGGTATCGCTTTCTTCAACCCGCCGTCTGACATTAATGCGACAGGCATGGGTGAAAATATAACTTATAGTCCGCGTATCTCTCACGTCGATACGAGCTACAAGAAAAACCATCAGTTGTAAACAAAAGTCCAAAAATAACCAGAACGCCCTCGATAACGTAAGCTGGATAAAATGTCCAGAATCCCCTGTCTTTCGCCAATGGTTAAGGGAGCGAGGCTAACGCATTTACCTAAGGCGTAGCCTTTATCGACACAAAGCAAGGCTATTTACGTACATGTACGTGCACTCTACCATATAAATACCTCCTCCCTCCCTACCATAACAACATTGAGTCGCGACGCGTGGCGGAGCAATTTCCTTCGCAAATTTTCGCGGCACCTGTGTGGTGCAGCAAGCGCGTGCAGCGAATGGGTGATATATTAAAAAAAAAGGAAAGAGAGAAAGAAAGAGAAAAAAAAAGGAAAATAGGTAGGAGAATCGATACTCGCATCAACCCATATGTGGAACAATGTCGCGAAGTCAGACGCTTGACTAGCGGGTCGACGCATAAGTAATGAGGCCAGCCATAACGAAAATAGAACATTCATTTTGCAAGAATACCAGGAGCCGCTGTCGAGGAGCCATATAAATATCGAAAGAACATTTGATATATTTCCGCTTGTGGCCGTTGTATTTTCCTTCCGTAATATTCCGTGCTAGTTGACTACGTGTCCGGCACGCTCGTAGCGCTCCTACATCTTTATCTGTCTCATTTTCGCCGAAAGCACAAATTGAGCGAGTTACGCGACGTTATTTTTGAGGGAGATGCTATCTTGCAGTTATCATAATATATCGCGTGAAAGGTGTTAAGCTTGACAAATGAGCCACTGAGAATGATGTGCATGTAAGCTACTTAATAACGAGGACGAGTTAACGAAACAGTTCCCATAGGAAGCTCTCTCACTCTCTGTACTCACTATCTAAATATGCATACGACGATTATTCAACAAGCGGTGACAATGAAGAAATCGTAATTCATTATCGCTCGAATTGCGAATTCAAATTTTTGCGTGTAATAAAAGCTTTCTAAAAATGTCGTCCTCTTTCACGATCGGAATTTTTTACCCCTCCGACGAATCGAGGTAACGAATAATCACGCACGCTAAAGGCAATGGTCCCGACAGGCACGGGCTATATATAGCGGGAAAAGCAAAGTAGCAGAGCAACCGTGGGCTTGGACTGAATTATCCAAAGTGATCTGTTTGTATTTTCAGAGCTTCATACAGTCTCGTTAGTCGTGCATCCACTCGATATAATTGAAAGGGTCGAATGAAAGGAATACATGTGACAAATCCTAACAGAACATTGTACACAAGGGTGTACTCGGGCTTCTACTTCGAAACAACCGTAACGTACTTCAATTATTAAATTTGATACGCGTGAGAACGAAGTAGCATAACACATCTAGAAGAAACGAAACAATATTACGACGTGTGTGAGCATGCGCGCGTGTGTTTTATTCTCTCTACGCATAATTTTTCTTTGCTTAATTGCTAAATTTGAGAAGTCCGAGAACAATGGAGCTACGAGCATGAAAAACTCGCGCTTTGAGAGAAAGCAACTTCGTCACGACGTACACGCTTAGGTTGTTTTTTCCAGAATTTGTCACGTGTGTCCTTTTGAGCCCCGAAGGCGCTCTTAATTGAAAGGGCGTGTCCTACAATTGTGCTGCATGCTGTAATAGTCGCCAAGATATCGCTGTTCTTTTCCAGTACTCGAAGAATGGCACGACAATCAAACTGCACGATGTGCGTTTCGAGGCTTCCGGTATTTACACCTGCGAGGTGACCATGACAACGCCCATTTATACCGCGGGTGCTGAACCCGTGCAGATGAAAGTGATAGGTAAGTGAAAGTGTAAGCTCTGTAAAAAAAGATAAGGATGAGGGAGGGTGATGTTAGGTGTAGCAAAAAATAATTATTAGGTTCTATCTTCTTTATTATTAGTCGGAGAAAAGCCAAGTTTATACGTGATATTAAATGATTCTTTGGCTTTAATTTTATAATAACCAATATTAATAAAATTCAGAGTTTCAAAACTTTTTATTAGAATAAAAAGATAGTGAGGAATTATATTTATGTAAAGAGTTATATTCGACACCAATGCAGTGCCAATTGTAACATGAATTTTAATTCTGTTCAATCATTTAAAAAGCAACACTACATAAATTATACGTCAGTAATTAATTTTAAAATTAAACAACGAAATTAAAATAACAAGAAATAGCAATATTGTATTAAAAATTATGAGAAAAGAAACAAGAAGGTAAAAATTCAATCAGACAAACAATGAAGATAAATATAAAATAGGTTATCGTATGCGCAACAGAAATGAGTTTTTACATTTAATGTACACTGTAATCAATCTTCTTAATTTTGTTCATATCTTTCACAGCATACCAAACATATATCTTTATTTCCGCCAATATTTTCTTCAATTGTACTAAGTATTTTAGCAGAACTTGTTTCGATCAAACTTACAGAGTTTCGAACCGTTTATAAAAAACCTAAATACATACGAGATCAAAACGAGGCGAAGAGAATTGCGATATTTCCAATTCTTTTGTATTTCGTAATAATTTTTGTTACGGAATTGAGCAATAAATTATTTCAATTGAAAAATTTATTTAATAAATAAAACTTTTAAAGCCATACCTACATTCCAGTGTAGGAAGCTGGAATATAGGTATAGCTTTAAGTGATGTCAACAGTTATAATAGTCACATATTACAATCGACACCACTTTCATTGTTACAATTACAGTCACCTCTAACTGTTTTCAATACATGTCCGTCACTCTTACTTATAAATATTATTTAATGTCAATACTCATCCCATTCAGAAATATAATAAATGTATTTAAATGTGATCAAGTTTATTCTATTTTGATAAGTCTTATGACACGAGTTGAAAAAAATTTTTCGACGGAGGCTGAAAATTACTAACGAACTTCTTCCATAATCAAGCCCGCACTGGCAACTGTATGAGCAGACAATGCTTTATAGTTTATATGTATATAAATTACATATCGGTAAAGCTTTCAAAGTAATAATATTAATGTATTTTACTCTCACAGATTTCGCCGCTAGACTATTTGTTTCAATTGACACCCCATTACAGCTGATATCACTTTTCCCTACCTTCTCGCTAATGATATCGGTATCACTAGAATCATGAATTACAAAATTTCAATGGCTAATAGCACTGAATATAATATTCATGTCGAAGTGTCAGAAATACTTTCGACGAATCTGACGTGAAAATTTCACAGCTGAATACTCTCCTCGTAAAAGAACATCTTGAGTTTCAAAACACCACGATCTAAGCGCCGGGAAATATTGATTGGATATAGTTTTCGATTTACATCAGCTATCTTCGCAATACTCTTCACAATCTCTTCTAGTTCCACAGGTTGGCAATCCTAAGATTACGTTCCAGAAGAACATATACATGGTCGGCGAGACTCTGGAGGCGAACTGCACCTCCTCGCCCGCACGTCCAGTTCCTTACATAACATGGTTTATAAACGGGAAAGAGGTAAGGAACGCGATCGAAGGGGCCGCGATCACCTCGCTTCAGACGATCGCCAGATCATTTCTGATTTCGCCGATTTCGCCAGGTGGATATCACTATGGTGAATCATTATCCGCACACGCATCACAAAGACCAACTGATGTCCGCCACCGCGAGGTTGAAGGTGGAAGTTTCCGAGTTGCACGCTGGGCAAAATGGACACTTGGAGATCAGCTGCCGGGCGACGATACCGGACTTTCCCATGTATCACGAGGAATTTGCCGATATCAGGAAAAAGACGGTGTCGGGTAAGTGTTCGCTAACTAAAACAAGAGATCATTTAAGAGGTCGTTCAAACGTGATAAACTATTGGCATATTGATAAGTATTGGTATATATGGCCGATTTTCTAAAACGAGGAAAGACGAGTCTACAAATATAGATCCTAAAAAACAGTGAAAAATAACGCGACCTCAAATAAATGCCTCTTGGCTCAATGGCATTTCTTTTCGAAATCAAATTCTTGTGTCTGTTTATCTCTACTTGACATATTCGTCTTGTAAATTATGCATATATATATTGAATTAGATTTAAAATCTTTTCATCGAGCTTTCATCGTCTCTTATATTACTCGTAAATAATAGCGACACGAGCGTCGCGTGAATCTGAAACATGCGACTTGTTTCAGTGCAAATCATATCAGCACCGGATATGACGTCTTCCGCGGCGATTCTCATACGAGAACTAACGCTATCTACGATATTGTGCATACTGAGCGCGATGCACGAGTTCATTCCTTAATAAAAGTCAATTGTTCTAGGATAATTCGGCTGTAACATACGTAATCGTAAGGTATTAAGACGAAACGATGAACGTAAGATCGAACAATCACAATGTCTTCCTTCGATATATTGAAATACACGGGGGCAGCGGTTTTATTGTCTTTGCAGAAGTTTTGTAACTCATAGACGCGGCTTCTTCGTGCGCAACTATTTTCGATTATTGCTTATAACGAACGTCGTCTGTCTCGCGAAACATATCAATTCCCATGAGATGTAACGAATCCGAATGTTCGGTAAGGTGTGTCGGAAAGTTATGTCCACTTTTTCTTTCGAACAGATCCATTTATTTCGTAGAACGCTCAATCTCGACGTTTCTAGCTGAAAAATTGAAAAGCTTAAGACGAAACAAGAATTGCGCGAAATGCCTTCGCTTTAACCTTCGCTCTGAATCAGGAAACTTTGACAAATAATGCACCGATATATCGCTGAATTAGTTGAAAAACATACTTTTGAAGGAACAATCTTTTTCTCATAGACTCTCTTGTACTGCTGTGCACAAAATTTCATCTAGTTTCTAAGGTTAAATGTGACTTTATTAAATATAAGGAGACCTCTACGTACGTAAAGTCACGACATAGTTTTCCGATACGCGTACTATAACATTTCATCTAGTCTCGCCTCGCCGTTTGGAAGCATCGTATTTTTCAAGCCCGCGAATATACGTTCTTGTTATTGTGAACGCGTTTTTTTTTAAACCACGTAAAATAGCAAAAATCGGAAAAAAAACTCAGGATCAGTTATTTAGATTTATTATTTATTTTTGGGGACGCTATATATATATATATATATATATATATGTGTGTGTGTGTGTGTGTGTGCATGTATGTATGTATTTTTTCTCTCTCGTCGTTTCATTTGTAGCGCTACAATAAATTTTGAAGAAACTTCATTGTAACTTGCGACACTCGTGAAACGATTTCTCACGTTTACGTCCCGTTTCAGGATGTTTGATATCGATAAAGTCAACTTTCCGACAATAATTTAGCGAGACGACGTCTTTTTCGCGTCTAATAGAACATAGATATTAGAGCAAATTTTCACCGTCATTTCACTATTAATTAGGAGCCTAGCGCTTCTCCGAAAACATATTGTACACGAAGGATTCAAAGCAAGAACGGCGTAAGTCAAATATAATGGTATTTGAGACACTTACATTTTTGCGTGCTTTCATATTGAGAAGTATTCTCGAACTGTTTTCTACTTTAATAAATGATATGTAATTTCAATTAATTATTTAATAATATATAACGAAAAGAGAGAAAGAGAGAAAGAGAGAGAGAGAGAGAGAGAGAGAGACACATAAGACCGTAAAAACATTGGCTCGGGCTATTTTTGCTTTCAATTCTTAATATCTCACATATAACGAACTGTGAAAAACGTCGACGGAACGGGACGTACGACGCCCGTTTTTTGTATCACAAAATTTCCTATATGACATTCGATGAGCGAGAAATAAGCTTGAAAAAACATTGCATCGACGGCTAGGCATCTAGAGAGCTGCGAGAAACTAGAGATAACTAGAGACACTCGAGTTAGAGTCTGGTCAATCAGTCAGATAACGGTAAGTCAACAATCGCGCTTTATCGAACAAACGAACGATAAAGCATCGTGATTTCTTCCGTTTAATTTAGTCGATGAAGCTTAATTAAACTTTACGGCGAAAAGCGGCGAGTTGGCCAAACCCTGACTCGACTATCTGTAGAAGTAGCGATTACGGCCGTCGTGCTTTGCGGCCAATCTTTTTCGAAGCAATGTCGGGCGCGTTACTCGTCGATACGACACGTGACATGCGAAAGACACTCCGATGTAATTCCATCTCTTGTATCTCACACCGAAGTCTGTCGCGATCGAACGCGTGGGATCATTTTTTGCGCGTGCTTACGGCTTTTCGCAACGTGCGAGTCCGAATCTTTTTCTCCACCCTTCCATTGCCACTTGTATGGATCCACAGCTTCGATACGGTTATATCGTTTCGTAAGAGTACAAAGCAACCATGAATAGGACCGTTCAAGCTACTGGTACCTCGAGGTGTGCCAAGAGTCACAAAGGATTACGTCAGTGCGCCGGAGCGAACGCAAAGGACGTTATCGGAAGCCTTAGTATAATCTTGTCCTAATCTAATCTTGATTATTGGTAGAGAGCGGAAGTTCGCGAGATCGGCGAGCTTTCCTGTTTGGGAGGGCTAAATGTACTCGAGAAGAGGAGATTATGCAGTATTCTATCTAAAAGAATCGTTAACTTCAAATTGACCCTCGTCGATATAAGTTTACGAATACATTACGACTAGATACTCGCATGTGAAATTAAATATTTTTCGTTATAACGATTAGTAGAGAAGAAGAAAGTTAAAGGTGCATTGGTAGAATGGTGAATTAGCTCTCTATAGTCGGGACCGAAGAGATATTAGAAAATAACTCAGACTGCGTAGTAGTGCGCTTTATAGATCTTAAAGAATACATCTATTAATGAACTTTTATACGTATTTCATATCGCAACTGTTCGCTAAAATCGGAACGACTAGTCCAATTAAAATGCCTGCAGATTCTCGTATGCTTTCAAACTTGCAATAAACGTAACATATACACATGTACCGTTTCTTAACTTTTTATTATATTTCTAGCGTAAGCAAGCAATGATATTGTCTAAGCAAAGTTTGAAAGCTTGGTAACGATTTTTTATTCAAAAGTGCCTTTTCATATCGTCTGCAAATTAGAAGGGTGTATATCTCGAGCGGATATCAGTCTGCCGAACGACGTTCTTCGCGTGGAAAGTAAAGCCGTAACATTGACGGTCAAGAAAATGAAGACGTCGCCTTATCGATGAGATTACACTCTCTAATAAAATCGCTCTCGTTCGTCTCAGCGTTCGCTCTAGCGCATCGAAAGCTCGAAATCTATTATTGTGCAGATTCACAGGTTTCCTTTTTCTAATTATACTTTTCGGACATGAGATTGGTTATTGGGAAGATTTTGGTCCTACACAGTAAGCAATATTTTGTACTTGTGTTGAAATCGATCGTTGTTAAAATTCTTGTATCAAATTTTTAACATATCCGTGTGTTAATTTAACATATTGCATTTATCGCAACATTTTGTGTTGTATCGATATTCAATATGTATAAGTGTTAAAGTAACATATTTTATACTTCAGTGTCGATTAACGTATTAATTTTGCGTTAATTTCCGACATAAAATTAATTTTCAGCATATTCATATCCTTGCGCTAATTGGCACAAAAATTTGAATGGACCGTTTGAGACATGTGAAGTGTGTTAAATTTAACACAAAACTTTTTACTGTGTACGCAAACTTTTTAATGTATATTATTACGCGTTTGCTTCCATAGTAACATGAGAAAAGTGCACGTAACATGAGAAAAATGTGATAAAGTACAATTAAAAGGAGCAAACCTGGTATAGATTCGTGCGAAAACAAAAGTTGACTGCATGCAAGCATGAAAAATGGAGGATCCTGCGCTTTTACGGCGGCTCGCGGGGCTCTACAATGCTCGTGGTGCTCATTCTGACGTATATTTGTCCGATTTCCCTGGTGACCGGCGAAATGACCGCGATGCCGCAGGAGCTCGCGACCGACGAGGGGGTGGAAGTGCGCATTGTCGGCGGGGAAGTCACCGACATCAAGAATTACCCGTTCATCGTACGTGCGACGCGCCCATAGCAGCCCCTTAACCTTTGACCTTTTGGGAAGGGGGGAGGATATTTGTACCTTCCCACGCAATGCGGCCCACACCTAGCGGAAGTGCGTAAACACGCGATAGACGAGACACCGAGAGTTCTGACGTCAAAAGCGAGGGAATTGCGATGAGAGTTGGGGATGTTTCGTGTGAATACATCACGGATGTGGCAAGACAAAAGCTCGAGGATACCTATGCGAACGCGAATGAATGACTAGTCTTTTGGCCGCTGATGACCTTTTCCCCAGCGCTCTTCTCTCGCAATGAGAACTTGGTTCGTATCGTTTCATTCTTCCAGTCGACGTTTACCGGAATGAATACGACGATTCAAACGTATGATTCCCTCATATCGTTTAGCTATTGATCGTATTTTGAATGGAATATACCATTTACTTTAAAACCAGTCAACGTGAGAACTAAACGTGTCCTTTGTCACAAAACTCCTATCTTAGGACCTTGCACGGTCGAGTCAGATTTTCACTCGCGCATTTTCCGCGCTCCTGTGATCTCGCGGTGAAGTTACCTGTTTACCCACGTCCGACAGGTACTGACAGTGTACCGATACACCTTACACGCTTGTGAAACAAATTAACATAACTACTCGCACGGCGCTCTTGAGATACTAGAATTTCAATTTCGTAATGAGCAGATATTACATTTCGGAAGATCGCACGTAAACAAATCACGTGTGAATAAAGCGCAACAGCAACACTGTGCAGTTTATGGCAAAATAGAAAAGGGCTTGAGTTAATTTATGTCCGAGTGAAGTTCCCTCTCAGATATACAATTTATCATCAATGTCGAGAGTGAAAGTGTCAAGAAGAATGAACGATAAGCGTGGAAAATGGATAAACGTGTGATTACTTATGAGATCGGAACTGAAACAAATCTCGGGAACACCGTGCGAAGGGGTTCTCGCTCGTTCGGGCCAGAGAGCACGAAGGTTAAGGGGCGAACCGACTCGACTCGGACTCGACGAATCCGAATTTTTCAAAGTCAATTCCTCTTAGGTCTCGGTGCAACGCGTACATGCTGGCCATGCATGCGGAGGCACTTATGTCGCGCCTAGGTTCGTCCTGTCGGCCGCCCATTGCATGATCAGGTGCGTGTCACAAGACTGCGTTTTCGCGCTGAACGTCGCGAAAGATGGTGTAGTTCTCTTTCTCTCTAGCCGGGGCATACGCTTTAGCACTCGCTCTGAAATACTCGTACACTCTTGCGTGTAGCCACCCCCCGATGCAATCATTAACCCTCGGACGCGTGAGACTCTTTCGCACAATGTTTAATTAGTACCGTGGAGGTCTCGCGAATTGATCCAAGGGTTAAAATACGATGTCTTCCGAGACCAACGGTGGAAGTAAAGCGGGGGTGAGGATCTTGTGAGAAATTTTCGGTATAAGTGAAAACACACACAGAACCCAGCAAACATCAACTGATAGTAATGTAATATCAATGTTACAATTTCCCATTCAACAATATAACTATATTACGTAACACAAGCGTTATATGGCATTTACATTGTTGAGTTGGAAATTATAACATTGATATTAAGTTACTGTTAGCTGGTGTTTGCTGAGAGCAAAAAGCATTAGTGCACGTTGCTGTTTTTGCTGAATTCTCCGTTGAGATTCACTGTGTGATCATTGGAATCACGTGGAACGTCTCTGTTTCGTACATTTATGTTTGCTTATTATTATTTTCGCAGGTGTCTATGTGCAAAAGAGCGTGTACACATAGAAGTGTACTCAATTAGGAACTACGTAATCTTTTACCGATTTGCAAAGGCCTCCGTGGCCAACTTTAATTAGGAAACACTGCCATATCGTACAGCGAATTTGTCATCTTTTCATACTTTTCTGTGATACTACTATCATATGTGTATGAAAAGAGAGATTAATTTACGTTGTCTCATATTGTTAATTGTGTTTTCTTAGGAAAAACTGCTAATGAAAAATCGTTTATTTCTTTCAATGTGTATCAATTGTTTCAGGTTGTATAAAATTTCGTAAACGTTAAACGAATTACATCAGCTTTAAAATTTCTTGAAGAAAAAAAGCAAAGTAAACAAACTTGAATCATAAAATACGATCTGAATATATTTCTGATTTTTTTTATTTATATTCGAAGTGTACGATATAAAATATATTTTATGTCTATTTCATGCAAAATAGTTTATCGTTTTTGCTTTACGTAGAATGTTACTTAGAATGTTTATAAGATAGCCTCACATAAAATTTTCTTCGATGAGTCAAGGAAAAATGTCTTTCGCTTTAAACTAAATCTTTGTAAAAAACTGAGAGAACCGTCTCAGATTTCGGTACGATTAACACTTAAACGCGGGACTGTATTCTATGTGATCTAAACCCTTTTAGATTTAAAGCAAATTTCGCGAAAAAAAGTCTATAAAGGAGAGAGACCTCTCTCCTGTTGACTGAGATATTAATTATACTCGGATATTCTCCAGAATATGATTATGTACTTGTAAAGCGAATCTCGGACGCCCTGATAAGACATTTAATATTACACACACACACGCACACACACACATACTCACACACACACACACACACACACACACATACACACACGAGATATTAGTATTTAACCTCCTTGCTACTGCAGATGTACGTGTAATGTTTTTTCATGAAAATGAAGGAAAAAATGTGAGACTTGAGTTTTAACGATTAACGATGTGTCTTGTGGGGGTATAGTTGCGCTGCCATTTGTGAAAGACGGCCGGGCGAGTTGACGAACTTAATCTTCAACTTAAATCTTCAATGATCCAATGGAAAAATCGTGCGATATGCTTCTAAGGGAGAGAGAGAGAAAAAGAAAGTAGAGATAGATAAGTAGGTAGATAGAGAGAGGGAGAGGGAGAAAGAGAGAGAGAGGGCGTCTTTATAATCGTACATACTGGTATGTTCTATTGAAACAAAGTAATATACAGCGATTGTGTAATGTGTAAATCTCAGACGTGTTCACGGATGGTAGCCGATTTATATCGTGTCTCCGGACCACGTGAAACATATATTTGAATTTGTATTTTCGCTACTAAATGGAATCCTTCTGTGAATCATAGTATATAGCGGCGGCCGAACGGGATCGGATAAATTGATACGATAAATTGATTTCCAGTCGGGCAGCGCCTGGGAAGAGACATAATAGCGATCGGGTATAAGAATAACTGCCTCTTGACAGCCACGGCAATTACTCAGCGCGCTACGTTTTGATTCATCCCGTTCGCCCGCCGCGATTACACCTTGTTTGTTTCTGACTGTGAATAGCGATGTGCTGTCTAGAAGTATATATTTCACGAGTAACGAGGAAGGTTAGCGGCGCTAGATTCTAAGGCAACGATATCTGTCGCGGTATCTATCTGTGTATCGATTAGCTGTGTACTAGCGGTGATGTACTACTCGCGCGAGCGTAGTTTCTGTTTTATGAGTCAGCTCGGCCGCCCGTGATTGTGCACGTGGGCTGAATCGGGGGCGCAATCGGACATCTGCTCGTTTACATATGATAAGACTAGTTATGCGGCATGTTCAAACGATGAGTTGAAAGAACAAAGCAAATTGGCGTATAATTGAGAACCTCTTATTTCTCACGGATAAAACCGATTTGTTGCATGTCGATCGCATTCGAGTGACTCGAGATCGTTTTTCTTTCAATTCATATATTTTATGAACGAAGCAGGAGATCGTTGCTTGCAATTAACATATATTGTTCAATTTGTTTTTTTAATTTCTAGACTCTCTCCGGTTTGACTCACAAAATAAATTAATTGTTTTTATATCGTCAAAAAGTCTCTTCAAAGGCCGTTGGTGTAACCGTTTTAACTTTCTGATGGATCATTTTACACCTCAATTTATCTAATGGATAAAAATATTCTGAAGAGCGTTCCCCGTAAATAAACTGCAAGAATATGAAAAATGACTAATACATTACTGAAAAACGATTGAAAGAGAAATTGGAAAGCAATATACAATAATATACTATATACTATACAATATACTATAAAGCAATATAATATAAATAGTATACTTTCAGATGTATACACTACAGATGTTTATCCATTATATAGTTTATATGAAGCTGGGACAACTGGCCTTAAAAGTTTCGAAAGTTCGTCATCTTATCTTAATACCTTATACAACAAAGAAAAAAGATACCGAATTAGTACGCGACGCTGTAACTAGCAACAAGAAGATCAGGACCTATACAATACAGAAGCTTGCAATAACATTGCTGCAACATTGCAACATTGCCACGATGTTGCTGCAATGTCGCAAACGTCGCAACAATGTTAACGTTAGCTTTTGTGCCGTACGGGGAAGTTCTCGATCTTCATGGGATCCGATTGTGCCTCACTTTCGCTCACCGCTCCGATGTTTAGATGAAACAAAATGAATATGATTAATTTGTCGTTGTTTAAAAGATGGTCGCCCGGCGGCACGTGGAGGCCGGATAATCCTCGGCGATACTACGTGATCGCCGGCACGCACTATGTGTACTTACCAAGCTGGGGTTCCATGCAGATGGAATTCATAGACAAGACATTGCCGCACGCGAAGTTTCGGCTCTTGGACCTGCAACACGATATTGGATTGTTCAGGGTGACTATTTATGCCGTGTATATAATTCTGTGTCGATAATAAAGAGAGCAAACCTTGTAACGGCGCGACGGCGATTCTGACTGTCACCCACGCTTTTGCGTTCTCGCCTCCGACAGCTGAGGAGACCTTTTCATACGAACCTGTACATTCAATACGTCGTGCTCCCCGTTAAATACATTGCGAATTTACAAGATATGTACACGGAACACTGCATCGCGGCTGGATGGGGCCGACACATACCCGATTCAAATGTACGTCGTAAGTACGTAGCTTATAACATGGTAAATAATATTTTGCACTTGTGTTAAGATTGGTCCTTGTTAACATTTTTTTATTGAATTTTTAAAGTACTCGTATGTTAATTTAACATATTCTGCTTATGTTATCTCAACATTTTGTGTTGTGTCGATACTCAACATGTGTAAATGTTAAAATAATACGTTTTATACTTCAATGTCGATTAATATATTATGTGTTAATTTTGAATAATATTTGTGTTACTTTTTAACATATTTATTTTGTGTTAAATTAACACAAAAATTTGAGTGGACCGTTCGAGACATGTGAAATATGTTATATTTAACACCAAACTTTAATTAATTTTATTATATATATATTTTTTTTAATTCGTTCTTAAAAACTAAAGCATATTATACGTTTCGCTCGTGATGCCACGAGGATCTAATTAAGGGCTTTCTGGCATATATTTATTAGCTTTATTTATTCGTGATTTATTAACAGAGAGGAAGTGGCACTTATCTACGACACGTTCGGGTTCCCTTGATCTCAGCTATGAAATGTCCAATGCCAAATATAAACATAGAAACACAAGTATGCGCCGGTCTGTTGGAAGGTGGTCGCGATGCCTGCAAGGTTTGAGTTTAAACTCAAGTACTCAGTAAATTTAAAGGGAATTAAAATGGTATTTCTACGTCCGTTTTGCGAATTTTCAGGGCGACAGCGGTGGGCCATTGATATGCAATGGAACGCAGGTGGGCATCATTTCTTGGGGCGAGGGATGCGCCCTCCCGAATTCACCAGGTGTTTATTCCCGTGTAGATTTTTATCTGGATTGGTTAAACGAGACTATTCAACGGAACGGAGTCTCGAAATACTCATTTCGACCTGTGGCTTCGATCGCCTTCGCGCTTTATTGGCTATACTTGTTCTTAATGTGCTAATTATCATATGGTATAAATGTGAATAAGCGAAGGGTTACATTCACTTGCAGTGTGCAATTATTGTGTCGGAGCTCCATTAAATATTTCTTCAATTATCTCAAATAAAAAATTACTTGTTTATTAGGAATATAATTTATTATTATTATTAGTTGTTTAAGTCAATGATAAAGATCCAAAAACGAATCAATTTACATATAAATTGAGAAAAGCTTGAAATTATTAATCTATATAAATTTTCTCCCTTTGCCTCGTGTCTTTCCTTTTTCGTTCATTCTTCTTTCTCTTTTCTCTGTTTTCTTTTTAAGCGATATTTATAAAGCATGAAAGTCACAGAATATAGCGTGTAGATGACGTTATGTGAATTATAAAAAGAAATTGCAAAGAACAAAGCAAATTTTGTGCATTTCTTGGTTGGTTTTGCTCCTCTTTAGTCTTTCGCTCAAGATTGAACAGCTAAATACAAATGAAAATGATCTAGCCTGGCTGGAACATATCTAGCTAAGTCTTAAAAGTTAAAAATCGAGTAAATTAATACCAATATCCTGTATTATGTAATTAACCACGTACAGTCGATATTCGCACTCTTAAGAAATATCGCTCATGATAACAGTAGCGATATAATTTTTCACAATGTTCCGGTATCATTCGATTTCATTTGAAATCAACACTATCAATGCAATCACCGTCATCTTTATCATGAGCAATAAAGGAACAAAAAAAATATTTTTAATAAAACGAACTTGTTATCATAGATACAGAATCTATTAAATACGGTAAATGCCGACGTTGCTAGCTAGATTGCAGGTGCACAGTGAAGAACGATAGATCTATACGTATTTGACACATAACAAGCTGCAACGGTGTGTGTGTTCTCTATTACAGAATTTCTGCAAGTCTCCACCCAACTTATTTTGAACACGGTAAGCAAAGACTCGCGTTCAAAGCAAAATTATAAACTGCTATGTGAATAATATTGAATGAAAATAGATATATCAAAATACAATATATTGCACGAATTTTCTAATATAAAATATATATACTTCTGTAGATTATTACACCATATTAAGTATCTATCGGAAAATTTGTTGCGCTACACAATGTTCTTCACCGACCTGAGGTTTCTATTCACGATCCTATTTTTTGGTACTTACGATGTTTACGGTGAGTTTATCGTTTTTTTCCATTTTTAATTAATATTTAATTAATATTTAATAAATAAGAAATGTAGAATTTTGCTATGTATATTCGTACTTATCAAATTAAATTTCCATTCTTATTCAAGCTATTAAATAGTTTTTCTAAAAATAAGAAATTTAAAATCATATCATTCCCTAAAACTGAAAAATCTAATTATTATTAAAATTTTTTATTAGGTCTTGAGGAGCTAAAACATGATAAAGTCGTCGTTTGTTACGTCGCATCCTGGGCAACTTATAGACTGCCTGATTGCACATTCTCCATAGAAAATCTGAAGCCAGAACATTGCACTCACTTAGTTTATTCATTTGCTGGCTTAGATACTGCGTCTTGGACCATCAAAAGTACTGATCCTTGGACAGACACAGAGAAAGATGGTAATCTCAACATCAATGGCAGATCAAATCATAATTCTCATGCATATATATATATATATAATTACTATAAGTCAACTATATATCAAATTATAGTAATTTAAAATTATTGTAAATAATTTCTGCTAACATTATGTATTATTTTCTAAAAATTTTCGAAACATTAAATTATTCAACAAAATTATTAAATCTCTTAAATAAAATTTAAAAATATCTGAACACAGGAATAGGCAACTACAGAAAGATGACAGCTCTCCGAGAAAAATATCCAGGTTTGAAAGTAACGCTCGGTATCGGTGGGTGGAACGAGGGCAGTATAGGCTACTCGGCACTCGCTTCTTCATCAGATCGCAGAAAAATTTTTATCGCCAGCACTATCGCGTTCCTCAAGTGCGTTTGCTAATATTTATGTCGTCGATAATAAAATATATCTTATTAGACATGAAATTGATTCAATAAGAACGTTTCTCTCACCAGGCAAAAGCTTCTAATGCTCATTAATTAATATACGATTTTCTCTCAACTTTTTTTAATTCGTCGTCATAATATATCTTTCAATAATTTAAATTTTATTCTGATTTGATCTTTGCTTCAAATGTAATCTTTGCCTTTTCTCTTCACATGTTTTATTCTTTTTCACTTGATTTCCGTTTGTGCTTTTATTTTTATCTGCGTTATTTCCTGAAATTGCATTTTGTTGCAACAGAACGTACGGATTTAATGGACTGGACTTTGTCTGGATGTATCCTGGACATAACGGAGGCAGCTGGGAAGATAAACAGAATTTTGCTGTGCTCTTGAAGGTAAGAATATATTACAATTTAATATTTCCTTGATTAATACTTTTACTTTTAGGAACTGAGCGAAGCCTACAAGCAACCTGGCTTGTCGCTAACAGCAGCTGTGAGCGCGGTGCAGGAAACTATCAACCTAGGATATAATATATCCGAAATGTCCAAATACGTAGATCACCTTCACGTAATGGCGTTTGATTATCACGGATCATGGAACCAGAAGGTTATATCACACGCACCACTCCGAAGCAGCGACGGGTTGAGTGTGGTAAGAATATGATATAAAAGTCATTGTTATAAAGGATGTGAAACATGATGTTTTTGAATAATTTTTAATACTCGAGTGTTTATTTGTTCATATAAAGTCTTATTTACTAAACAAGAATTAATGGTGTCATTAGCGACAATTTCTCTGTTCCATAATAAAAGCTTATTACTGAATCCGTTACTCTAAAAACTGCTGAAGATATTAGTTATTATTTTCAACGTTTAGAACGACAGTATTACATATTTATTGGAACAAGGAGCACCGGCTGAAAAACTGGTCTTAGCGTTGCCGATGTACGGAAGAACTTTCGTCCTGACAACTCCACCAGAAAAACCAGTGAATCCGATTGGTCTGCCTGCTCTCCCAAATGGATTCAGGGGACCTTGTACCGCCCAAGATGGCATCATGGGATATAACGAGGTGCTTAGTCATTATTTCATATATTTCACATATTTATATCATATTTTACAGCTTATGATGTGGACTAGGAATATAATATTTTGTATATGTATAAATTGCGTTTACTTTATGCAGATCTGTGCGACGCAAAAAGAAAATCCGAAAGACTGGACGATTGGATGGGATAGCGATAGTAGCTCGGCTTATGCGATTAACAAAGACCATGTTATCGTTTATGACGATATCAAGTCTATGGAAGCCAAGGTATTTCTTTCTGTGGAGCATAGCTTTTCATTAAAATTTTTTTCTTATATCAGTTGTGTGTACGAATCAGTCTTTCTTATCATTCTTATGCGATCAAGTAGTACACTGAAATTTTTAATCGTCAGGTGAAGTACATAAAGGAGAAAAAGTTGGCGGGTGTCAAGATATGGAGCATCGACACGGATGACTTCCACGGCAAGTGCAATGGGTCCGATTACCCGCTTATGAAGGCCATCAATGCAGCTCTGGCGGGCACGTTGTAATACTTGTCTTAATAATTATGTTTTGCATAAATATCAAACATCTATAAAATCAATTGGCATCAAATTTTAATAAATCATTTTATTTTTAAACTCTCATTCTTCTTCGATTTTATATGATAAGGTTGTATTCTGTTGTATATTCCTCGTGCTTTTGATCTCACAGCGCAAAAATTATTTTTTTACTATACCTTCCTAATCAACAAATTTAATTGCCGCTGCATAACTTGAAAATAAAAAGTTATATAAGCGAAAATGTTATAACAGTTATATTACAATTATATTATTTTATTCTATTTTTATACATAATTTCACAGTCGACACATTTAGTTGCTGCTACATAACTTTAAAGTTAAAAGTTATATAACAAATATGTTAGTTATAGAGCCGTATTCATAGTCGAATATTTAAGTATTCATAGTCTTATATTTAAGGCTGTCTTAAATTCATCTTCAAGATATTTCGTAGTCAATGAAATGAGCTATACAGCTATACAGTATTTGAAGATGAACTTAAGACGGTCTTAAATATAACATATATGTAATATCTATGAAGTAGAACATTTAACGTACATGTATCATTACTTGTATTCTTGAAAACGGGCAATATTTTTACATAACAACAATGTAAAAATAACTTTCACGCTATATAAAATGTGATTTAGAAATTCATATATATCATATATCGGCTATATCATTGTGTTGATTGGGTTTTTACTAGATATTTCCATTCCCTCTCTAGTCAAGACATACATTTTGACTCTCTTTATCAATTCATTCACCCTGTGTTATCCTCACAACGAATTTAAACCCGTCACCCGCTCATAAGTTCAAAATATCCATATTCTACCGCCTTTCCCCTACCTGACAGCTGAAAGGAGACCTGGATTCCAACACTACTATCAGCGCCATCACGACATTGATGCTTTCATGCTTATCCTCTTTGCTAGATTCGCGTCCTTTCTTTCACTTTTCTCAGCTTCTCTAATTTTCCTTCTCTTTTCCTTTATTTTTCTCCGTCGTTTATTTATTTTCCCGTTTTGTTCCTTTAACTTTTCATCATACTTTATTCTTTTTATACTTCCTTCACTTCGTCCCTTTACTTTGTTTTTCTCTTTTTCCTTCTCCTTCCCTTACTCCGTTTACTCCTCCTGCTTCTTCTTCTATCTCTTTTTTAGGCAAAGTCTATTTATAAAAGCATATATATATATGAAGCTTACGCAGAACGTAACGTGCGCGTGACGTTATGTTTACTCGAGGAAAAATCCGTGAAGAGCCAAGTAAATTTCACAGAGATATGCAACAGGTTCTGAATGCGTCTTTCTCGTTATCCTGCTCCTCCTCCGTCTCTCACCTGAGAATGAACAGTTACGAGTGAAAGTGATCTGGTCTGGCCAACGCAGGCCTATCCAACTGCTAACAGTCCGCAGTGCACGGCCGAACAAATCGGTGCCGCGGTATTTTGCGCCGTGTTTTAGCTACGTGCGAGCGGTATATTTATGTTACTAAGGCGTATCGCTTGCGGTTTTATTTAAAACATATGGGACATATCATCATCATATTGTTCTCATTATCGCATACATTTAGCGGTAAAAAAAAGAGAATATTTCGATAACAGGTTCGTGTCATCGCAGATAAGGTCTTTTAAATACAACAAACGGTAACGGTTATCAGTTAAGTCGTAAACGTACAGTGAAGCATTACTCGAAGTAAGACTAGGACGATAATTTACAGCTGCGCATAGAACACGCGGGTCTTTGACGTTTATCGTTCTTGCGGTACGATATCATAGGAATCCTCTAATGTAGAATACCGTTGCAGCTCGTCTCACATAACTCACTAAGTATATTGCAACAAGAAAAATCGGCGCGCCACGATGTCCTTCACTGTTGTGACGTTTCTACTCACGATTCTATTTTTTGGAACTTACGACGCTCACGGTGAGTTTGCCTGTGTGTGTTTATGTATGATGAGTTTTTATTCGTATCTCATATTTAAAAATATTACCAATGTAGATATGAATTTATAATTAACATCTAGTTGTATATAACAATACGAAATGTCAAATGACGCACGATTTCACTCGATGAGTGGTGATAATTCCTGCGTTTGCGTGCCAACAAACGAAAGTAAATGCCGGCATGCCACACAATGGGGACGCGACATTTCCATAAGGCTCGTGAACGCATATACAAAGTGGCGCAGAATCACCGTCATTTCTTTCATTTGCGATTTCCTCGAATAACACGGAATCGATTTCTCATCAATGATAATGCATTCATAAGTCATTTCTCAGCTGCTTTTTGAGATCGCTTTAAATATTTTTTTATAATTAATTTCTAATCTAGATTTATAAAAATAAACAATATTTAAATAAAATAAGAGATGTAACATTTTCTATGAGTATTTTTATCCTACAATGATTTCCAACTTTTATAAACGCTACCGACTGTTTTTTTTTATTTCACGAAAAAACAAATTTTAGAGTAACGTCTGTCTGTAAAATTAAAAAAATAATTAACTAAGTGATACAAAATTTTTTATTTTTTCAGGACTTCAAAAATCAAAACACAATAAAGTAGTCGTTTGTTACGTCGCATCTTGGGCAGCTTATAGACCGTATCAAGGCGCGTTTTCCATAGCAAATCTGCGTCCAGAATTTTGTACTCATCTGGTTTATGCATTTGCTGGTTTAAATGTTACATCCTGGACAATCAGAAGTCTTGATCCTTGGGCGGATACGGAGAAAGATGGTAACTATAATACTTATTAAATAACAAGTTGTAATAATAAATTAACTTCAAGGATCTATTAATTAGAAAACATTGTCATACAATTTTTTAATTTATCACAATATAATATCGAGTGTACGTGCATCAAATACCCAGCCAGAAGTGAAAATCGAATCGACGGTGATTCGATTTTCTGGCTAGGTATTAACAATTAAAGAATACTATAACAAATTTTCAATCTGATTTGATTATTGAATTACTTAACAAAATTATTAATTTATTCCTAATCTCATATCAAGACGCTCGTTAATTTGACAATTTAATTCTAAATATAATTAAATAATTCTAAATAAATAAATTCTAAATCTAAATATAATTTGGAAACTTGGTGAACCAAGTAATAGGCAACTATAGGAAGATGACAGCTCTTCGACAACAATATCCAGGTCTTAAAATTTCGTTGGGTATCGGTGGGTGGAACGAAGGCAGCAAAAATTATTCACAACTTGCTTCGTCACCGGATCGCAGGAGAATTTTTATCGCCAGCACCATCGAATTCCTCAGGTGGGTTTATTCTGATATTTATTTACACTGACGATTATAAGACATTAAAGAAGAAATCAATTTTTCAAGTGAAACATTTATCGAAAAGAACTTGTAACGTACATTGATCGATGCGCCTTTCACTTTTGAAATACTCTTTATGAAATTTAGTTCGATGTTTCTTCCGAAAGCCAAGATTTTATTTTGCTTTCATCTTTTCCTTTCTTCCTTCATATCCTTTATTCTTTCTTATTTTATTCTTACTTGCGCTTCTGTTCTCACTTATTTTGTTCTTGAAAATTACTTTCGTTGCACAGAATGTATGAATTCGATGGGTTGGACCTTGACTGGGAATTTCCCGGTAGTCGCGGAGGTGTTCCAGATGATAAATTGAATTTCCTTAGGCTCGTGAAGGTACAAAAATTCTGTCTAACTGTTCCTTTTACCGACTAATATATGAATATAAAATTTATTTTACGTCGCACGATAGGAACTGAGCGATGCCTATAGAGAACCTCGTCTTTCCCTGACGGCAGCTATAAGTGCAGACAAGAAGACTATCGATCAAGCGTACAATATACCCGAAATCTCCAAGTATCTTGACCACATCTTCGTGATGGCTTACGATTATCATGGGACATGGGACAAGAAGGCTCTACCGAATTCTCCACTTCGAAGCAACGACGGATTAAATGTGGTAAGAATAAGATTTTTGTAGGAAGATGATTTTTAATACTGTAGCACTTTTTCGAATGAGAGTAATTAAAGATATATCATGATTAGTTTTCCAAATAAAAAAATCAGTGACGTCATTAGATCAACTTGTTTTTAATACAAAAATATATTACCGAACCCGTTATTTAAAAAACTGAATACATTAATTATTATTTTCAACATTTAGGAAGATAGTATTACATATTTGTTGCAACAAGGGGCCCCAGCCGAAAAACTTGTCTTAGGATTGCCTATGTACGGAAGAACCTACATTCTGACAACGCCACCAGAGAAACCAGATGTGAATCCAATTGGTCTCCCCGCTCTGACAACTGGATTCAAAGGACCTTACACTGGTCAAGAAGGTTTTATGGGATTTAACGAGGTGCTTAATCATTATTCATATATTTATATTATATTTTGTAGCTTCGGTTTAGAGATTATGAAAATATATCTTAGATATATATAAATTATATTTGCTTTTTTTTTCATGTGCAGATCTGCGAGGCACAGACATCTTCGGAAGTCTGGACGACTGGATGGGATAACGACACTAACACGGCTTATGCGATTAAGCAGAACCATGTTGTCTTTTATGACAGTATCAAATCCATAGAAGCCAAGGTATTTCCTTAAAAAAAAAATTGCTTATTATAACTCAAATTTCCATTGTGTCATACGATTCGTTCTTATTTTTTCGCTATCACAATATAATTGAAGATGACCCAGGTAGCAAAGTGACGTCAGAAGACATATTCACGGCAATATAACATCTTTAACATCAATATGACGTCGTTTGACGTCACTTTGCTAACTGGGGAAATTTTCGAATTGAAATTAATAATTAAAAATCTTTGTAAGTATGAATTAAAATGTTAATAAATCATTAGGTGGAGTACGCAAAGAAGAAAAAATTAGCAGGTGTTATGGTGTGGAGCATCGACACAGATGACTTCCGAGGTAAATGCTATAAGTCCGAATTTCCGATCATGAAAGCCATCAATAAAGTTCTAGCGGACACCAGCGACACCTTAACATCACCAGTACCAGTACCTGGCCCGAACACATCATCCGTACAATTTATTTCATACATCGTGTTAATGTTATCGATCATGATGATTTATTTTACAGTTTAATTATGTCTATGAGTAAGTCGATAAATGTAATTAATGCGTAATAAGATTTATAATTTTTGCGGGAAATATTAGAGTATGTTAAAGCTGACGTTTTACAGGTTCCTTTTATCGATACTTAGGTTGGAGGAATGTAATCTTGATGATATACTCGTATAGCATTATCTTATGTGTATATGCATTATGTACAAATTAAGAGAGATTTAAATCATTTTCATAGAAAATATAAATACCCAGGTAGCACATGTGTTAGTTTCGTATAAATATTTTCTAAACGTATGTAACGCTTCATAATCATATTATATATGATTCAAATATCAAGAACATATATATGAAACTAACTGTGTTACCGCGAGGTATTAGACGGAGTTAGACGGAATCATGAAATATAATATTGATGGCAGCAATATGAGAAATATATTGAACAGAATTTTATATATTATTACGTTCTTTAATAAGATTTAACTATTTATGTACATATCACGCGTATTTTATTCAAATAAATCAACAAAAATATTCAATTATAATTACACTTTTATTTAAAGAGAAAAAGAGAGCTTGTGTGTGTGTGTGTGTGTGTGTGTGCGTGTATGTGAGAACTATGAACACATTGTGGACGGATGACGAGATATCTCGTCTTTAATATTGCGTCGTTAGAGGCGAGATATCGCACAGTTGCTACGTGATAGTCAAGGGCAGTTTTTGGTAATTTGTATTGCGAATTAATTATTTGAAACTCTGAAATATGGATAGCGACAAAACGATTAACAATATTACAGAAATATTTGCGAATAGTTTATCGGATATATCAAGTGATGACGAAAATATGAATATTTGTGAGGACGATGATGACTTTCAAGATATTATTGAAGTTATGTATTCCTGTAAAAAAACGAGAAAGAGTTTTAAAGAAAATGGATAGTGACAGAGACAGTGAGAATAATTGCGATGGCTTAGTCCTGAAAAAACAACAGAGTCGACAGATTTAGAGAGAGGTGTACCAGGCCCTTCAAATATTGCTAAAAGAACTCCACGTAAAGATTACCCGCAAAAGTTGTCAGGTAGTATATAACAACACATCCCAGTACAACTTCCGCCTTCAAAAAACAAGAAATTTCCAACAAGACGTTGCAAAGTGTGCAAAATCAACGGAAAAAGAAATGAAACCCGCTACGCTAGCAAGCTTTGTGGTGTTCCACTTCACTTAGTTACATGTTTTACTAAATATCATACTTTGAAAAAGTTTTAGTTTGTACAAATTTTTACTTATTGAAAAATATTAAAATATCATTAATTTTTAAAGTTGTTGTTGGAAATAAATATTTCACGTGACAATGATTTTTAACTACCAACAAATCATCACTAATTTAAAAATATTTGACACAAAAACATACTCGGCCACTGGGTACGGTTAGCAATAAAATATCTGGTCCGCAATGTGTTAAGATAATAATATTTTCTACTTCGATGCTCTGTATTATTTTAAAACGGATGAGTCTTTCGACTTGTTGTATCATATTAATTGCAAGTAAAAAGACCATCTGACATAGTTGCATCGTGCTATTTGAAAAATGAAAATACATTTAATAATTGTTTATCTGCAACATAAAATAACGAAATTTAACAGATTGAATTGTAAAGAAGTGACAACATAGAAATAAATTGTATTTTAAAGTATTGAAAAATCGATTCGTGAGAAACGAGAGAATCGGATTTGATTCATCGACTAAGAGGAGCCTGAGTAGCTTAATCGGTAAATCAGTCGCCTGATGAGCAATTCATCGGCCGAGCATTGCCGTCCCGAATCAAAAGTGACAGTAACAAAAATGGCGTTTATTGGAGAGGACGCAAAACCTTTATGGCACAACGGACCGTCACCCGGCGCATTTTATCATTTCCCAGGCAGCCAGTATGGCACCGGTGGAATCCAAAAATCACAGTATGTTTTATTCGATTGTAATTTATATATCAGTCTGCTTCTATGCATCTTTACATATTATAACCTATAAGTGGTGTTCATGAAACTCGCTTGTCATCTTCCCTCGCACGGTGGAAACCGATGGAAATAAAACTTGATATAATCGAGACTGCATCGAATTAGGCAAAAGTAAGTCTTGAGTTTAGATTTAACTTTTTACAGATCTCCGATAACAACTGGCACGTCTGTTGTCGGTATACAGTTCAAAGACGGAGTTCTCATTGCAGCTGATGTCCTCGGATCTTATGGATCTCTGGCTCGTTACAGAAATCTAGAACGTATCATGAAAGTGAATGATAACGTCATTCTTGGTGCATCTGGAGATTACGCAGATTTCCAGTGCATCAAGAGTAATGTGGAAAGAAAAATGTAAATTCTTAAAATATTATCGAACATATTTCAGAGCTTGCAATATATATTAGAATGTAAAAACTATATCACTTAATATTACTACTTTTATTTCAGCCTGGAAGAACAATGTTTGGATGATGGATTCAGCTTAAAGCCAAAAGCTCTGCATTGCTGGTTGACGCGTGTCATGTATAACAGACGGTCGAACTTTGATCCGTTCTGGAATAATTTTGTGATTGCTGGCTTGGAAAATGGAGAACCGTAAATATCATTTATCGTATTGCAACTTCTCAGGTATATCTGAATCTTCAAACCCACCTAGAAATAATGACTGTTCCTGTTTTAGATTTTTGGGAACTGTAGATAAGCTTGGCACAGCTTACAACGATCCAGTGATTGCGACTGGATATGGTGCTTACATGGCAACTCCTATACTAAGAAAAGCCTACGAGGAGAACAGCCAAATGAGCGAAGAAGAAGCCATTCAACTCTTATACAAAGTAATGCAGGTTCTCTTTTACAGAGACGCCAGGTCTTTCCCGAAGGTAAATATCTAAAAATTGACGTACACATGATTACATAATATCAATCGTATTGCTAATGTCTGTTTTGTTTTTTTTTTTTTTTTTTTTTTTTTTTNGTGTCGTCACGAAGGAAAAGGGAGTAGAGATACAAGGACCACTAACTCTGGATAGTTATTGGGGACCTGCGATCTTGTAAAACCAATGTTCTCTTATCTCTTTATAGAATAAGTTATAATAAAAAAAGTTCATATATACGGTATAAAAATCACGAATCGAATTTCTCCATCAGTACTTGCATTGCTGTCCGCCCTCTATATTTACACAAAACAAAATATTAATAATGATAATAACCATAAAACGACTTAGTAATAATAAGTAAGAACCTAAAATTTTTTATTTCACTGTATTCACATTAACAGATCACTATGACCAAAGTAAGTGCACGTTAAAGCGTCAGTACTTCATGTCCGTCGTCCGTGATCAAAATCGTGTGCTCGAATTGTGCTGTTCTGGAATTGTCGACGGTACAGGCCGTCCAACCATCTTCCAAAATCTCAAGCTGTGTCGATCCTTGACTCAAAATCGGCTCGATAGTGAACGTCATCCCCGATTGCATTCTCCCAGAATAATCGTTTGCTGAGAAACAAAGAGCATTACGTATCAACGTACATATATCGTTCTGACAATATCGAGCAATTAAATCTGTATGTAACCAATTAAAGTGTCCAAGAAGGAAACGCGTTATGTATGATTTTCATTAGTATTTATACAATAATGCGTACCAAAATGAAAAATGTCCGGGGCACCGTGGAAGTAAGTTCCGATACCGTGACCCAGGCACACAGGTATCACGTTCAGATTATGCTTATCCGCTATCTCTTCTATCACGTTACCTGGGAAAAGAAACGGAAAGATTCGATAAAAGTATGAACGAAACAACGGGAACAAAAGCAAAGTTTCGTATATACTACCAATATTGTACAAATGTTCGTTCGGTTTGCATATTCGCACGGCCTCTTTTAAGCACAATTTCGTGATCGCTATCAGTCGTTTGCCCTCAGAATCGACTTCGCCCACTTGAAACATGGCCGAGCAATCGCCGTGATAGCCATTGAGGTACACCTACTTAAACGAGAACGTCGAATTTGAGAGCAGAATCAAGTTGATAGAATATTCGGAACGAGAGAAGAGCACTCACCGTTATGTCGACATTAAGAATATCACCGTCTTGCAGAGGCCTATTGTCTGGAATACCATGGCAAGCGACATTGTTAACACTTGTACATATAGACTTGGGGAAACCACGATAATTGAGCGGACTCGGATAAGCTCCATTGCCAATGATCATGTCGTGCACTTGTTTGTCAAGAGAATCGGTCGTAATACCAGGCTAACATATGCCGATTTCGTCTTACATTTCGGGCTTGTTATAATATTTAATGTATATAGCTGTACATATCTGAAAGCTACCGACAAACCTTGGGAACGTGTTCCAATATTCCGAAAGGCGATCACATCTGTACGGACAGAAATTCTGTGACTAATCTTCAAATTACGTATCCCTCTACGATGAAAATGTAACAATATCCATGTGCATTAGCTTTAAGTCCAAAATCCCCGTAAATCTCTAATTTTTACTTGCAAAATTCACACATCCAAAGTTGGTTCATACCTTTCAGATATTTATTTATATAGAATGTCCCGGATTCGCGACATCTCTTTTCATTCAATGGATTCTTTAAGTCATCAACAATTGGTGAAAGGAGATGGCGCAAGCCTAAAACATCCCATGCAATACGTATGAAATACAATTCACCTTAATTAACGGATTAACTTGATGTAATATATAACTGGCAAGTTTACAGCTGTCCCTCATACATTCTATTTGATATGCATCCTTGATTTCTGGTATTTCTGGCCCATCCTTAGGTACTGATGTTTGACTATAGGATGGTTGGGGTATGTACACAGGTACATCAGCCTTTTCAGAAACCGACCATGGTTTAACAATGTCATATTTGCCAAAAGAATTATGAGTAAATCTGTGTGACAGCAAATCATCAGTCTGGAACAAACATTCTTTATTTAATGAGTGATGGACATATTGAAATCGTATCTAAAATTTGGAAAAAGGAGAAACATATTAAGAAATGAAAATAAAATCAGAACAATCAAGTTAAGGTAAAGAGAAATGTACCTTTGACAGAGACTTGAAAAAATCTACAAAACATGTTTTAAAAGACCGTGCCGCTTGAATGATATTCCTGGTCGATCGCATACTCCACGTGTTATATTTATAATCCCGTTTATTTTATATATAATAACAGAAGATTTATTTAACTAGTATCTTTCCAAGACCGGCACAGGTATAAACGATCCAATGCATCGTAACTGTCGCATGTACCGTCTACACTTTCCTACACTTTTCGTTTCTTTGCTCTTTAAAAACAGCGTATGTGCACACGTATGGCAAGATTATTCGAGAGTGTGTATTTATTTTCTATATTTTCTTATTTTTATATTCACTTTGCAAGACAGAATAAAATAGAGAAAACGAAGTGTATGAAGTACACCTGAACGACAGAAAATTACATAACAAACGCACATGCGCGTACGTAGCGTGTGACATTGAACAGCTGATGCCTTACCTAAGTGAGTGGCGTACCTAAGAGAAATCGATTAATATAACTTAGAATAAGAATATAAAACGGTGATATAAACTATATCCTGACAAGAACAGGCAACTATATAGAAAGAAAAGGGATAAGAAAAGAATAAACTTCCAAGTTAAAATAAGGCAAACACAAGGAGCCATGGAATCTTTTCTTAAAGCATCAAAGGTTGCATTGGTAATATACCGTTACAAGTATTACGTTTTCACAATATTTCGTCGCCTTACGTAACTCATTTTATCATATTTCAGTCCGACTTATCGCCGTACCAAATCATCCGCGTTATTCTGGGAAATCAGACCTGTGATTTGGATTCCGCTGTTTGTGCCTTGGCACAAGGATTTTCAGAGTACGTCAATGCCAAGAAACATGGACAAAGTGATCTTGCTGTGATACCAGTTCTGAATATTCCAGAGAAGGAGTTCCGTATCAAAACTGAAGTAGTCTATTGGTTGAGATCTCATAATATTCCATTGTACCTGATAACATTCAGGTGAGTCTTTCAATATTAGCAAGTAATCTGAGCTTGATGTTATTCGAACACATCCTCAACAGAGATCAGATTAATTTGCAAAATCTGCAGAACAAGACTGACAAGAAGCTGGAGCTGATTCTAGTTGATCATCATATTCTTCCGAATGAAGATATTGTTCTGAAACCTTCAGTAACGAATATTATCGATCATCGACCATTAGATCCAGCCTGGTCATGGTCTAACATACTGTTAAACGTAGAAATTGTTGGAAGCTGTACAAGTCTTGTCGCACGTGACATACTCCAAAAAAATCCTGACATGTTAGATGCTCAGCTTGCAAGTTTCTTGATCGGTAAATGTTGCCTGAGGATTCGTCGTTAATAGCAAATTTGTTTTCCTTGTAATATCCAATTTATTTTCTAGGTCCAATTTTGGTTGATACCTACAATATGTCAGCTAAGGGTGGACGAGTAACCGCCACCGATGTTGATGTAATAAATAAACTCGAACAACTCGGTAGACTCAGAACTGATAGAACTGAGGTATTTAACAAGATTATGAATGCAAAGACAGACATTAGCGAGTTGACCGTTGAAGAACTCATGCTTAAAGATCTGAAAGTAACAAATGGTGTACCTATTGCAGTATTTCCTCTTTTAGTGGAGGTATATCATTATTCATCATTTAACAATTATATATAACCATAGCCTTATGGTCTTCTTTGACGGCTTGATCAGTCTCTTTTAGTTTTAAATTTCATTTGTAAGATATACTTCATAACACATTTTAGAATCTTCTTACGCGAGAGAATGCAAAAGAGATGATTGAAAAGTTTGGCATTGATAAAAATTGTACCGTCATTGTTCTCATTGGTCTCGATGTAAGCGATGGACGTATATCCAGAGATATCGCGGTCTTTTCAATATTATGCGATCAATTAGGAAATGACGTGAGTATTATTTAAACGTGACAATTTGTTCTGCATTACTGTGTGTTGTCTTAACATATTGATGTATACGGTCTCGCTTGTTTCTAACTGCAGATTATTCAAGCATTAACTTCTTCCACGCAACCACCCTTGAATATAGATCTGGTGAAAGAGATTCGGGAAGAAAGATACAGTATCTGCTTGTACAAAATAGGAAATTTAGAAGTGACGCGCAAGCAGATACTGCCGATTGTACAAAGAACAGCGTTATTACATAACAACGAGCGAATATAAATAAACAAAGAGAATGGGGAAATTGTACAGAGGAACAAGAGTTGCGCCGAATATATGACCGAACATTCGAAAGGTGTTCTTTAAAGTCAAAGCTTTTGCAAAGTTGATCCTTTTAATCCTTTCATTCATACAATTTCTTCCATTCCTCCTCGATCATATATCATTGGAAATAACAATATTATATTTAAATTATACATATATACTGTATTGTAGAAATCATAAATTTACTATAAATTTTATTATAAATTTCTCGACAAATTTAGGATAATTTTTTAAAAAATTTTAATGCACAAAAAATGTTAAAAGTCGTGCGTATCGTGGAATAAAATATTCTAAATAGTTTCACGAAACTACGCTAAAGTACTTTTCTTTTTTCTTCGAGCAAACGTTTTCAAAAATATATATTTACCTTATTGCGCAAGCGTGCACATCTTCATGTGCATATATACATATACACTCTATTAATAATAAATCATATATACATACATATATATATATATATATATACATATATACATATAATCGCGCAAATGTTATATATATATAACACATGCGCGATTTAACGATTATTGCGTACAATCTCTTACCATTGAATAAATCTGATATTGATAATATCTCGGTTTAAGATAGGTTGACTTATCCGGCGTCTCCGCGAAAACCCTCTTTTCATCGTCCGTATCAGCGAAAGTATCTCGGCTCCAAGTGCTGGGAATTTTATGATTTTGCGCAGTGAAACGCCACCGCTATCGCCATTGGCTGTCGAAACGTCACACCCCTCGGTGTTATCACACATCATCCCCATATAAGGACCTTTCTTCCCGCGGAATATCCCAGTGTAGGCCATAGCGATGTAATCCCGCGGATGCCGTTCGCCCCGTCGTTCGCGCGATTTATAGCGGAAGTGCGCGCCGGACGGCGAGAGTTGCATCGCGGTGAGGGTCCTCGCGCGCGGCGTTCGGCGAGCGGGCTAGAAATCGCGTCGAAAAATCGCGCGGAACTGTCCCCGAGCCCGACGTGGTGCGAGGGTGAGGTGCTCGTTGTCAGCGCGACGTGCACGTGTTTCCCGTAAAATTATGAGACGAGTAGCTGCTGCTCGCGGCTACTGTCGACCACCCTCGAACAGCAGCGAGAATGCCGGAGGCGCCGGGGCTGCGCGGCTACCTGTCCCGTCCGGACATAGAAAGTCGGCGGGCGTGAGGCTCGTCCCGGCCGCGAGCCGACACCGTGGAGAGCGAGCAGCGTGTTCGGAAAAAGGAATTGGCGAGATACGCGCGATTTCGCCCACCCGCGAAATAACGCATATTGATCGTTCCATACTTGTTGCGCAGAGACAACAGCCGGGCCAAGCTACGCCGAGTATCAACATCCCCACCCTGTGCGAGCGAAAAGCTGCATTATATTCATGAACGTTGTTCTCCTGTAAATTACACATCCAGTTTCCCCCTTTTCTATTACCTCCCCCCATTTGCTTTCCGCGAGGTGCGTGTCCGCGCGAGGCGGCCTTCTTCCGCGGCGAGGAGAGAAACGCGAGAGATGCGAGAGCACCCCGGCCAGTGTTATTATGATTCGTAAATGCGCTCGGAGGAACGTCACGCTGCGCTATCACAACATATCATGGAGCTAGTACGCCTTTTGATAAAACTACTAATGCTGTTCAGCTGGTGTACCGGGGAATCCTTCGGGAACGCGCTCGGTGAGTACCGCTCGTTATTTCATTTCGCGCGACCTGTCTCTCTCTCTCTCTCTCACTCGCTCCATTATCAATCCCTGCGTTACGTGACCTATTTCTTTTTTCACATATTCGCTCATGGACCAAAGCCCATACGCGACGTCTCCCAACGAGAAATAATTTATATTCTCCTCGATTCGTTTTTAAACTCCTCTTGAAACTGAAATAATCTCCTTATTGTTTACTCGTTGGAGATTTTTTTTCAAAATGCCCAAGAGAGGAGGAGAGATAATAGGAGATCGAACGAATGACGTTGAATTCTTCTCGCTGAATTTTCGGGAATTTCATGAATATTATATCGAGGGTGTATGCGCAGATTACACACAGTCTGAGATGTCCGAGAGACATAATGATAACGCGATAAGAGACTGTGTGCTTTTTAGAAAAATGCATACTCCCACTCGGCATGGAAGAAGGAAAGATTCCGGACGAGGCGATCACGGCGTCGTCCAGTTACGAAATGAAATCCGTGGGACCCCAGAATGCAAGGTACACGAAGATATCGACGAAGATAACACACGCGTGAACCTTAATCGCAGGTGTGATAATTCGTGAATACTCGTAGAATACGACAGGAGAAGAACGGCGGCGCCTGGTGTCCAAAAGCTCAGATCAGTAGCGCGATACGCGAATACCTGGAGATTGATCTGACGAGGGACCACCTCATCACGTGGACCGAGACCCAAGGCCGATTCGGTAACGGCCAGGGCCAGGAATACGCCGAGGCGTTCTTCTTGGAGTATTGGCGGCACGAGAAGTGGCATCAGTATAAAGATTTGAAAGGGAACAAGGTACGGTCGACTTGTTGAGAAACTATTAACTTAAGGAGGTGTTCTGATACTTTACTAAATATAAGATAGACCTGTAATATATTCATGATACAAAAGTTGAACTAACAATGCGTAACAGAAATTTCCATAATTTTTACCGCATCGTTTCCAAGATATTTAATTATAAACGTCCCAGTAAACACCAAATATTAGTAACATAACATCGATGTTTAATGTCCGACACAATAACATATATGTTACATAAAATAGATGTTGTGAAAACAGTATTATTTGTAGGAAATATTCCCAATAAGCAAAAAATCATTAACGTAACGTTATTAAAATATTGTATAACATGTAACGTTTCCAAATGTGTAATTATTAATGTTGTATATAATGTTATTATTAGCAATATTTGAGCCAAATATTAAAAATAATATTTCTATATTATGATTTTAATATTTTGGAATACTATATTGTCAAGCAACAATTTAAAAATATTTATAAAATATGTCAAAATGCTTACAAAGTTCATATAAAATTAATTTTATTGATTTGGTGTTTCTTGGTCACTGCGTTATTCCCTTTAAATAATACTGATTTTCCTCAACAATATCCTCATCAACAATATGGTTTACTTTAGTGAAATAACAACATTTTTATTCCAACAAAATGATATTTGATATTAAATTAAGTTGTTTAACACACAGGTATACTAAATCTAAAGTAACCTTTTTCTCTGTATGTGTAAATATCAAAAAGCAATTCTGGACTGAAGGATCTCATTAGCCTATATTCAAGTTTAATGTCTTTTTGTATCAAAATTAGTCTTCCTAAAAAAGGCGTTCATTAATTAACTTTTCTAGAATTTGTTACATGCCGCAGTGTCGAAGATCGAGATGTTTTCTAGGTGCTACGTGGCAACAGCAATACATATCTCGTCGAGAAGCAAAAGTTAGATCTGCCGTTCGTCGCGAGTCGAGTAAGATTCGTCCCTTACAGCCAGCATCCGCGCACCGTGTGCATGCGAGTCGAGATTTACGGCTGTATCTGGAATTGTGAGTACTCTCCGACGCACGACCTGATCCTGCCGATTCCTTTATTGTCTATGCGCACTTGTACGCCACGATGTACTTTCACAATCGCATTTTAAACATAGAAGATACCATAGTCGTAAAGCGGTCGGAAGCGAAGCATTAGCTTTAAACGCGAGATACACGTGAGATTTTCGCTATTCACGCAGATGGCATGGTCAGTTACACCGCGCCTAAGGCTGATAAAGCCGGACCTAACGGGTGCAACGTCGAGGACACGTCGTACGACGGTACAGAGATCGAGAGTCTGATGTTGAACGGGTTGGGACAATTGACCGACGGCATTGTCGGAAACGAAATTGAGATCCTGCAGTCCAACAGAGTGACCAACTGGGTCGGATGGCGCGACCGAAACCGCGTGGAGTTGCTCTTCGAGTTCCAGGACGCGCGAAAATTCGCCAACTGCACGATTCACGTGGCCGATTTGCCCGAGCTGCGTGTCCAGGTTCGCGATCACTCGAAGCAGACCGTCCGATCGTCATAACGTGTAATTTCTAACTTCAGCAATTTTCAGATGTTCTCGATGGCGAACTTCTGGTTTTCCTCGGACGGCAAAGAGTACCCGGACGCACCGGAAACGTTTAACGGCTCTAAAACGAATATCATCCTTGATGGTGGCAGCGAGAGGAATGGTGGCGACAAAAATAGCGCTTTGATAACTATTCCGTTGCAATCGAGGCTCGGCAAGTTCGTCAAGGTGGAATTGAAGCCTAAAGCGAGGTGGTTGTTGCTAAGCGAGGTCACATTCATGACGGGTAATCTATTATCTCATTCTCTGACTGAGAGATAAAGTATTAAGAAATCAATTTATTCGATGGGTATTAATAATATATTTACTTAAATCTAAATTCTTTTATTTTGATATAAAATAAAAAATTGCTTCCGTGAAAAATTATAGATTAAAAAATATGTATATTTTCTCATTTTAACAATTTTTATTAGTGTAGAAATATGTATGTCAGAGTATAAGTGAAAATATGTTAATAGTACCTACACACATGCACACTGAATAAATATTTCTTATTTTGTAAATATTTTCTTTCAGTATTCCCAGTAAACATGAAATATTAAATCAATTTTTTGAAACATTAATTTCATATAGATTTTATAAGCATTGTGACATAATATTTTATAAATGTTTTTAAGTTGTTGATGACATAATATTCCTAAATATTGAAATCATCGGGTAGAAATATTATTTTTAATATTTCGGTCAAATAATGACGTTGTATACAATATTATGAACTATCCAGCAAACGCCAAATAATAACATAACATCAATGTTACAATTTCTCGTTCAATAATATAAATGTAATATAATAGATTTATACTGCATTTACATCACTGAGTGGGAAGTTGTAACTGTAATATGTTACTGTTACTTGGTTATATAAAATATCATTGTAACTTTGCGTTAATAATTTTTTGTTTACTAGGCTATTATACTCGTGAAACTAAAAAAAAAAACAATCAAATATTATTGGACGATCAATTGTCGAATATCAAGTGTCAAGGAAATGTTGTTGAAATTAGAGTAGTTCCCTTAATTTTGCGAACTGAAGTTCCAGAAGCAAAGAACAACACCGGAGCGCTGGAACGATTATCGTGGATATATTCGAGCAACAACGAGAACATATCCCAAACGATTAGTCAGGACCAGTTGGCGAAAGTGAAACGCATTGAAAACATGAAGGATGAGGATGAGATCGACGAAGTGAATACTCAAGACGTGAGTAAAATCCGAGATGAGACTGGCGACGAGGCGAAGATTAACATACAACACGGCCGTACAGCGACGGGGAAGACGAAGACCGACTCCAACGACACGACGTCTTCGGTGAACGACTCGAACCTGACGCCGGACGCTTTCCCCGTGAACAACTCGCAGACCTACATCGGCCTGATCAGTGCGGCGTTGACTGTGATCGCTTTTTTCTCGAGCTGCACGATTTTCCTGATGAAGCAACGGGGCCGCAACAAAGTGGCTTTACTGCAGAAACACACCGCGTTGCTGTGCGGCTCGCCGGCACCGGGCATCACGATCAATACGAAAGACATGAAGTTACCCACGCCGATCGTGGTGAACGGTCTGTCACAGTCCAGACTGTCCCTGAAGAGCAAGCTCGCCTCAGCCAACAGCGACTACAAGTTCGGCGACGTCGACGCAAGCGAGCAGCGCAGTGCTTGCGAGAAGATCAATAAAATGCCCACGGAGCAATACGTCAAGTGCGAGGCCAGGTCGAGTTATAAATCGGAGCATTTCGGTACGTGGAGAGTCGTATTGCAGCTTTAATAACGTTGAATTAATACTACGCTGATATTACATATCGCATTCAAGTATTCGCGAAAAATACCTTCCAGGGAAGCAGTTGGAAAGTTTTACTTTATTTTTAATACGAAGAATGACTACGTAATAATTAACATGATTATACCCAATTATAAAGTTTTCCATATATAATCAGATATAATTATACATTAATATATATAATTATATATAGAGAATATGACAGAATATGTCTATACATAAAAATACATATAAAATAGTGATATCATTATATATGATTATGTATAAATACATGATCTGTATGATCATGTATAAATATGTCTGATCTTCGCACGTATGATTATTTATATGCATATATATGATATTATACAATTATATATGATATATTTTTTCTCCGGATAGTTAATACGATAGAATGTATTAATTACAACGTAGCGACTGCCTGTGTAATTTATTACTATATAATAATTTACTGAGCTCTTATTGTTTTTGTCATTATGCTCACGAAATATTTACGTCTATCTCGATTTTCCTGCGCGCTTTTCATTACTCATTTCAATTTATAGATAATATTAAATTCAATATAATGCATATTAATGAGATAAATTAATAGAATTATTTATAGAACGTGTGTAGCGAATGTGTATTTATTAAATAATAGGGAGGAAGGCCAAAGGGGGTGGGAGGGTATATACGTCCACTCTACCACCGCCCGCTTGTGTACCTTGCGACCCCGGTCGTGTCCTAGTTAACATTATTATCGATTCGCACGTGTTTTAGATATTAAAAACAGCGAGAGCTTCGCCGATGAGACACGAGCGGAATGCGGGATAATTCCGACGACGGCGAAAAAATTGAATCACACGCAAGCGGGGAAGATTAATCAGAGAGTGTACGAGAGTTATTACGCGGCTACGGACATCCTGACGGTAAGCGAGTCCACAATGCGTGCGAGAATGATGATTTAAACGGTTTTGCGATCGTTAATGCAATACCCTCGGTACAGTATTACGATATGTTGTAGATAAAAAGGCGCGAACAGCATCCCGCTGCGAGTCTTTTCACGCCGCTGCTCATTCGGGATTCAGTTTTATCGTACAAACGCGGCACCCACGATGTCCAGCGCGTCTCCCGGCACAGATTGAGAATCCTCGATAAGCTCGGCGAGGGAAACTTCGGCCTGGTAAATTTCGTCCACGTCTACATTTATCTTTCCGGAAAATTTGCGAGAGTCGTTCTCTATGAGAAACGAGAGTCGTTCTTTCAACTTTTATAGCGTCTTTTAATTTCTCAAATGCAAGATCGGTTTAGTAACTAGTTACTCGGTTAAAAGATAAGTTAAAAGATTAATAACTTTTAACTTAACTTGATTAATTTTAATTTTAATTGAGTTAACTTTTAACTGGACTGAACTTTTAACTTGAACCAGTTAACTTAAAATGCACTAACTTTAACTTATCAACTTGTTTTATATATGTTAAAATAATTCACTGCTATTAAAATCATTATGGGTTACTTATAAAATGAGGAAAATAAAAAATTTAATGACTAAAATTTTTGTCTCTTTGAGCACTGAAAGTGTCCTTTTTTGTATGAAATCCTAAATACAAAATAGTCGGTGTTTTCTTATGATTACCTTTTCTTTATTTAACATAAATTTAATATATGATTAAAAAACTATATAAAAAGCATATATATATATATATATATATATATATATATACTTGACTTTGCATAATTAACTTTCAATTTAGTTAAAAATAAAAATGAATTTATCTTTGCTGAAATGCTTGAAAGAGCGTTTGGAAATGTCTGCAATGTGTAGGAGCATTCTAATTTTTCAAATGTGCAAAAAACATCTCGATTTCCAAAAACTTCTAAAAGTTGTTTTTTTAGGTTTCTGTATTAATTTTCCGGAAAGATTTATTATAGGAAAATTGGTCCTATTTTTAGGTTCATCTATGCGAAGCGAAAGGCATACAAAATCCGGATCTAGGCATCTTGCAAAACCGTCAAATAGTGATAGTACGGTCCTTGTGGCGCGGTGTCGTCGACGCTCTGAGGTAAAAAAAATAAAAATAAAAAGATGTTCATCGTTCTTCACCGAATCCCATATAGCACGAATATTCTAAAAAATCTAGAGACGTCCTAGAGATGTTCAAATATTTCTGAGATGTCTTTAGGATGTCTATCGAACATTTTTGCTGTGTGAGATAGCGCTTTACTTTCGGAATTTGCATTCTGTATAAAAAACAATCAATTTAGGGAGGACTTCATGAGCGACATGCACATCTTGGCTGAGATTCGCGACGTCAACATCGCCCGGATAATCGCGATCGTCGAAGAGGAACCCTTCAGTGCCATCTTCGAATACGGAGAACTCGGGGATCTGTCCAGCTTCCTAAAGAGCCGCGATTGCGACGCATCGATAAGGTAAAGTGGGCATAATAATTCAATCGAAGATTCTATCTGTTTTTTTCTATAGCAACACTGACTTCTCCAGTTACGAGTGCTCGTTAAATCTGGTCGCGCAAATTGCTTCGGGCATGAAATATCTCGAGAGCTTGAACGTGCCACACTGCGATCTGGCAGCCAGGTAACAAGGCATTCGTCATATATTCACATCGCGGTAGCTTGTGTATTTCTAATACCACTTTTCATATTGCAAGGAACTGCATCGTCTGCAAAGATCTACTGATCAAAGTGTCCGACCAGGCCATGTATTGCAACAAATACGACGGCGAGTACTACGTTGATGAGTGTTACGCGAAGATACCGCTACGTTGGATGGCATGGGAAGCGGTCATATCGGTAATTTTGTCTCCTAATTAATCCGGGATATCGGATCAAGGAAAAGCAAGCTGAATCAACGTAATTTTTAATTATTATTATTAACTAACGCAACAATGTAACCCAAGCTTTTCGCTTTTGGCGTGATGGGAATATTTGATAAATATGCCCGATCGGTCAGAAGCATTTTATGGACATAACTTTTGATTTCAACGTATTCCGCGAGAACTTTCAACGTACGTTTCCTCGCTTCCGAGGCAATTAATCAAGATGGTCGTGACGAGGAAACAGGAGAGCCTCAAGGATAATATCCTGTATTGCGTTTCACATTTCGTCAATGGCTTTACGTACAGGGGAAACGAAGCTGCCAGTCCGACGTGTGGTCGTACGGCGTGACGGTTTGGGAGGTGCTGACGCACTGCAAGGACGTGCCATACGCCGACCTGACCTCGGAGCAGGTGCTGGAGAACTGCGGTCTGTGGTATCATTCGTCGGAAGGCGGCGGTAAGAGCAAACGTCCGCGGCTTCTCGAGCAGCCGATGTTCTGCACGGACGATCTGTACCGGCTGATGCTGAGGTGTTGGTGCAAACGCGCGGACGATCGGCCCAGTTTCCAGGAGATTCACTGCTACCTCAAGAAGCTGACTTTGGATTAAGAACTCGCGGACTCGCCGCGACCTCGAGCGCACTTAGGCGGCGGGCGGGACGACACCCATGCGTGCTCCAGCAGCGGCGCGGACCAAATCGATTACAATCAGCTAAGAAGCATCCTGAGATTGCTTTCTTACCGCTTTTGCGCACGAACGGCCACGAACTAGTAATCGCAGATCGTCGCAGTCGTTAAAGATGCCTAAACACGTCAACGTGGGATGCTCTCTGGCCACTAATCTTACTGCTCAACTAGATTTATCTAATTTCATCGTACGAATAAGCGTAGGTTAACGAAGTAATGATTTATAGTTTCGAAAGCTCGGAAAAGACCCGATTCTTTCGCAACTTTTCCACGGATTTCTTCGGTCCGAAGGGTAGGAGAATTCACGTGCGCTCGCCGTTAGAACGCGCCGTACTTACTTTTCTTTCCGCAAAAGGAGATAAGAAATCAAAAAAATTGAAAGACACCAGTTTTCTCCGAGTCTTCGGAACTATAGTAATGATGGAAATAAAAATTGAAAAAAAGAAGGAATTCAACGCGACGATTAATCGCATACAGATTTCTCGTAATACTCTATACGCCAAGGAACAACCCGAGGACGATCCCTCGGCGATTACTTCCGCATTCGGAACGCGCGTGTGATTCCAAGCAGAAGAAATGATTCACACTAGGTTTATTGATTTGACATATCTCTTTCCTACGCTTATATACATACATATATGTGATACTTATTTATCAGTTATCGTTAAGAAGATCGTTCTCTATTCTTTCCAATGTTCGGTACCCGGACCGATCGCGCTATTATCGCGACACGAGCAAGCTTTGCGGCAAGCGAACGCACTTGGCGCGGATCTTGGCGCAGAGTTCAGCCACCTTGCGGGCATCCGAGTACTTTGTATTACATCGTAAGAATTCGTTGCATGTAGCCGAGGCAAAATGTATTAGACGTAAAATCGGCATAGATCGAGCGCTGCCGCTCGATTACCGTCGGTATGTGTAACTTGAAGACGCATCGCGATTAATGAAGGATGACAATCAGTTTTGCTCACCTACTCGTATGTACTTATTTTACGAAATAATATCATGATATATATACTCGTACTTGAGAATCCGTTCGTTGCGACGATCGATTCAGCTTATCTATCTTGGGGGGGG